CACATACACCACACACACCACACACACACACCACACATACACAATTTTTAAAAGAGTACCCTGAAGGAAGATATTGAGAGGGACACTAGAAGATAGAAAGACCTCCCCTGCTCATGGATTTATAGAATCAATCAAAAAAAAAAAAAAAAAAAAAAAAAGGCAAAAAGGCTATCTTGTTGAAAGCAATCCCAAGTCAACACAATTCCCAAGTCAAAATTCCAATGACATTAGTCACAAAACAGAAAATCAATCCTAACATTCACATGGAAGCAAAAGCATTTCCAAAGCAATCCTGAACAGAAAGCAATGCTCAAAGAATCATAGTTGATGGTCTTGAACTATACTCCAGAACCATAGTAACAAAAACAGCATGGTACTGGCACAAAAATAAACATAAGCATGTAATCCAATGATGTGGAATGCAGGGGTAGAGGGCCCTCGCAGAGATAGACATGTGGTGAGCATACATGCATACAGGCAAATACCCATACATAAAAAGATCGTTTCAACATAGTTTAATTGTTAAAAAAAAAAAATAGATTCTAACTTGCCTCAATCAGAATGATCATCACCAAGAAAGCAAAAGACAAAATTCTGGGAAGCATGTGAGGAAGAGAAACCCTTGCTCACTCCTGGCAGGACTGTAAACTGTGCAGCCACTATGTAAATGCTAAATGAGAGTAGAGTTTGCTCAAAAATCTGAAGGTAGAAATGCATATGGTCCAGCTATACTCCTCCTGCTAAGTACACGATGGACTCTTAGTGCACACACCACAGAGATAACCTGCATATTCATGTTCATTGTGACACATTTTACAAGAGCTAAGAGAAGGGGACAAGCTGTTGTCCATCAACCATGAATAAAGAAAACATGGTACCTATATACAATCAGACATGAAGGAAAATTTCCTACAACCAAAGATGATTGTGTTACATGAAATATTGGAGTCAGAAAGACAAATCTCTCATATGCAGACTCTAAATTTGGGGAGACCAGCAGAGCGGAGTAAGAACTATTAGGGAGGGTATGTACGTGAGGCAGAGGCAGCCATGATAGATGCATGGGTGTATATCGTGAGTTGACGCCAGTAAGAATTCAGATGCAATATTTCAATGCAAATTTCAATTCAATAATAGATTCCAACCTGATGAGTTTGCATCAGATGATGCAGGTTGGCTTGGTCATTTCAGGGTTATTCCCTTTGTGCTATTAAAAGGGAGGGAACTTCCCTATTGTGGTTATTTGGGTCGTGTGGAATTTCCTATTTCACTGAAAAGATAACTGACCCATTTCACTGTTCAGTTTATGTGACATGTAGCAGCACACATAACTCCATTCTGTTTGGTTCTAACAGTGGGTGTTTATAACTACTGCTAAATAAATTTTGCAGGAGGGCACGGTTCTGTAACAGCCTCCTGTTCTAGACCCCCACAGTCTGTAACCAAACCCATTACTTCAATGTAATGTTCCTGCCAGCACCGTGTGAGGGTTCGCTTAAACAGCAACAAGCTATGACAATGTTGAACCTCACAGGTCCATGGTCTGGCACCTCTGGGCTGGCTTAACCATCCCTCTGAAGCTCACATTAGCCTTTGTGGAAATATTTGCTCCCCCCCCCCTCCCCGTTTCTAGGACTCATCTTCACTCGGGTGGTGGTAGATTTCAGATTTAAAGAGAAGGGGAACAGTTAGTTGAAGCAGCATTAAGTACCATAGAACCACCACACTGCTGGCCTAAGTCAGGCACCTGAACCAGTGTAGCAGAATAGAGGATTCATGAGAATTTCTTGGATCTGCAGCCTGCTAGTTTTTGGCAAAGAAACCAAAAGCATGTACTGGGAAGAGGAAATTCTCTTTAATAAATTGTCCTGGATAGTTTCGGGGGGGGGGGGGTGGGAAATATGTCCACACAGGAGAATGTAATTCAAAGATTACATTCTAGAATACATAACAACGAACACAAAATGATACTGACTCCAATTTAAGAGCTAAAAACCCATAAAAATTCTAGTAGAAAATGTATGGGAAGTACTTCATGGCATTTGTCTAGACAAGGATTTCTTATATTTGATCCCAAAATTACAGGAAAACACAATATGAGAAATGGATGATAAATGGGTTTGCATCTTTACAAATTTAGCTCAGTGGTTTGTGTGTGTGTGTCTGTGTGTGTGTGTGTGTGTGTCTGTGTGTGTGTGTGTGTCTGTGTGTGTATGTGTGTGTGTATGTGTGTGTGTATGTGTGTGTATGTGTGTGTGTATGTGTGTGTGTGTGTATGTGTGTGTATGTGTGTGTATGTGTGTGTATGTGTGTGTGAGTGTGTGTGTGAGTGTGTGTGTCTCTGTGTGTGTGTGTCTGTGTGTGTGAGTGTGTGTGAGTGTGTGTGTCTGTGTGTGTGAGTGTGTGAGTGTGTGTGTGTTTGAGTGTGTGTGTGAGTGTGTGTGTGTGAGTGTGTGTGTGTGTTTTTGTGTGTGTGTGTGTCTGTGTCTGTGTGTGTGTGTGAGTGTGTGTGTGTGAGTGTGTCTGTGTGTGTGTGTGTGTGTGTGTGTGTGTGTGTGTGTGTGTCTCGGTTTCCGTACCTGTTAAGGGAAGCCTGGAATGGCTGCTGTCAGGCTTAAATGAAAGCATTTGGCCCACTAGCTATATTTGAACCCGGATGACTAGAGACTGCTGGTTCTGTTTTGTTTTTTTGGCAAGGTCTTGTGCAGCCCAGGCTGACCTTGGTTTTCTGGGTAGTTAAGGAGGGCTTTGAACCCTCAGCCTCCACTCTCTAGTGCTGGGGTTGAGTATGCACTATCTTCATATGTGGTAGGCAATTACTTTACCAAGTAGGCTTCATCCCTAACATGGCTGCTACTCTTTATTACTCCGGGAGGAGGGGTGGGTGTTCTTTCTGTTTTCTTAACTGGAGGGCTCTCTGACCTTTACCCTGGTTCTTAGGCTATTTTGGTGTATGAACGTGACATGGGAACATGTTTAACTTAGGAGCACGTCTGGGACCTCCACACGCTTGCTCTGTGGAAGCTTATCTGGCTCATGGGAACTGGCCAGCTGCTTATGGGTGCACAGACCTAAGGTAAATCAGGGACGGGTCTGTCTTGCAGCTGTACAGGGGACAAACCTGTCATGCTATGGACTGCTGGTGTGGGTTTGGGGGCTCCCAAATCCTGTCTGTTCATCTGTCCACATTACAATGAGATAGTACAACTGTTTGTAGCTGTTTGGAGCACTGGATTTCAGATTGTCTCACTGCTCCACAGGTTAATGGGGCTGGAGACCTGTGGTGGGGTATCAGGAGGAGGCAGTGTGTCTTCCAGGCTCTCGTGCCTGGGTGTCTCTAACCTGCAAGGGGAGGGGAAGTTTAGATGGGGAGATCTCTTTAGTTCCTATCCTTCCAGGGCATTCACATCTGTTGTACATGAGGGACTACCCCTCATCAGTAAGATTTGCCTTCCTTTTGGGGGGAGGTGGTCGTGCTAGACATGCAAACCAAGGTCTTACACAAGCTAAGAAAGCATTCTGTCTTTGAGCTACAACTGGTCCTTTATTTGTGTAATTGTTTCTATTTTGAGTCAGAGCCTCACTAAGTCACCCAGACTGGACTTGGTCCACCAGCCAGGAAGCCCTTGAACTCATACCCTTTCCATCTTGGTGCAGCTGCCTGGGCCTGAACACTCCTTAGTGACTGACGAAACAGAACAGCACACCCTGCTTGGCTCCCGAAGATTCTCACAGACACTAGTGCAAAGCTACAGGCTCTTCTTCCATCGAGTGTGCCTTCCTCCATCTTCCCAGGCCTGTGGGAGTACCTGCCTGCTATCCCAACCCCGTGTGTAAATACACGCAGCACACCGAAGGACAGACTCGGGGTACAGATTAACAGATAGCATTCACGTGGCTCCTGTCCTCATCGCTCAGTGTTTGCTTGCACTAGATGATAAGGCTGGAGTACAAAAAGGTCCTGGTGGGTCCCGGGGAAGCCAGCACCTGCCTCCTTTGACCACACAAGCCACCTTTGGATGTGTCTCTCCAGCAGCTAAAAAGCAGAGGTAAGGCACAGCCTTGTGTTCCCCAGAGACATTGCTTGTGGGTCCAGGCTGGGTATGTTGAGGCCGTTGACCTTGTATGACCTTGTTGTAGATGCTGATGCTCTGGACGATCCCACTTTTCCTCCTGGGAGCAGCCCGAGGTCAGTGACACCATAACCCTGTGTGGATGGTGTGTTCATGTGCTCTCAGCAGAGTTAGAGAAAGCTTTAGCCCAGACAAAGGTTGCTGGAGCCCCAGCCTGTCCTAGGCTTTTCGGAAGTGTGGGGAAACTCAAAGCTTGGGCAAATAAGCTGGGTGGTTGGGGGAGGGGGTGGTAGCTCCCTATACCTGGAGGAACTTATGGCCTGGATTTTTGAGGAAAAGTTCTAGAACATCTATAAGTGACTGGTGGACGTTTGCTCAACTAATGTGGTCTTCTCAGGGGGTCCCCTTATCTACAAATACGTTAAGAGAGTTTGAATGTTTCAGGTTTTTTTTTTCTTTTACTGAAAATTGATTTCTTTTCATACGATATATTCTGATTACAGTTCCCCTCCCCTGTTTCCACACCCTTTACATCTCTTGTTAGAAACCAGGAGCCTAAGGAACAACAGTAAAATAGAATAAGTCAAAATCGAACAAGTAAGAATATTGCAAAACAAGAAGACCCAGATGAAAACCCACATATATGTGCAGAGACACACATGTATGTTCACACACACAGGAAACCCATGAAAACCCAAAACTAGACACCACAATGCATATGCAAAGGATTTGTGCAGCTAAAACAAATTCATTAGGAGACAAAGAACTTCCAAAGAGGCTGCCTAGTTCATTCTGTGTTGGCTACCTGCTGCTGGGCCTGGGGCCTGCCCTAAACAGGGGTTTGTTTCCCAGGGAGACTCCTTTTCCCAGCTTTTCATTTCCAAGTGGCTGTCAGTTTGAAATAGCTCCTGGGTTAGCGTGCCTTGCATGGCCACCATCATAGAAGCTTCCTCCTGCAGCAGATGGGAACCAATACAGAGGCACACAGCTGGACAATATGTGGAGAGTGAGAGACCTTGGAACACTCAGCCCTAAAAGGGATGCCTCCATTAGACCCCTCGCCTCGGGGAACTCTGATGAGAGAGGGTGAATGCTCTGGAGCTTAGACACAAACCCTTCTCCTCGACCCTATCATTCTCTCCCCTCAGGAAAAGAGGTTTGCTATAACAACCTTGGATGCTTTTCTGATACTGAACCCTGGGCTGGGACAGCCACCAGGCCTCTAAAAGTTCTCCCTTGGAGCCCTGAGAAAATAAACACCCGCTTCCTGCTCTACACCAATGAGAATCCAAATGCTTTCCAGGTGAGACTATTCATGAACTCTGTGGGGCATCTCCGTCTCCTGGTACCCTCCTCCCCAAGCCCAGCCCCACCTTCTAGGTGAGTGAATGCTTCACAGCTGCAGGGTCCTCCTGCCAGCTCTGTAGCTCTGTAGCTCTGGTCTGGGCACAGGGCTTATTGTCCAACAAACCCATAGGAACAATAACCCTATGAGTCCCATCCCGGATCCAGAGGAGGCAGGGAATCGGGGGTGGGGGTGGGGGGGGTGGAAAGGTCAGGATGGGCATCCCGAGGAGCTGACTTGGTGCTCAGCCTTGAGAGGCCAACACACTGGGCCAGGCAAGGACAGGAAAGAGGAGGCACAGGCTTAAGGGGCAGTTTGCAAAAAGCTTAACTGCTTTCTGTCTGTCACAGCTTCTCCAGCCTTCTGATCCATCGACCATTGAGGCCTCCAACTTTCAAGTGGCCAGGAAGACCCGGTTCATTATCCACGGCTTCATAGACAAGGGAGAAGAGAACTGGGTGTTAGACATGTGCAAGGTAGGGACACCCCTGATCCATGCAGCCGGGTCCCACTGAGCTATCTCACATTACACAAACACAACACACAAGCTTGGAACCAGAAATCTTCGCAGCAACTCAAAAGCTTCTCTTCAGCAAGTCCCAATTCTCCTCCCTGTTTCTAACCCACGCCTGCAGCCCAAAGCAGGCACTGGCTATGGGAACTCACCTCTCCTCCCCCTCATCATGCTTCCTGTTCAGCCCTGGCCCAGGGACACCTGCTCTTATTTTCAGCAGCAGGGCTTGTATTCTGCAAATGAGGGGCTGTGGAGTTTTGTATATCCAAACCCTCCCTCACATTCTTAAGAGCCAGAGGCGACCATTTATTTAAGACACAAGAAACTAAGATTGACAGGATGACCATTTTATCTTTATTTTATTTTATTTGCTTTTTTGAGGCAGGGTTTCTCTGTGTGGCTTTGGAGCCTGTCCTGGAACTCACTCTGGCATGTCACCTGAAGGGCCACAAGGTCACATAGACAGTAGTCACCACATACTATGCTAAGGTCCTTTAATTATATAATTGATTTGCCTTATCAGATTTGGTTGAAGAAATCAGAAGGGCTGGCTTGTCCTTCACCTTTAGGGTGCACATTTTCCCCGCTCCTGGTATTTGCCCTGGTAGACTGCAGGATTCCCTGGACAGAGTCCAGTCCATCTCAGCACCCCAGCTACAAGAGCAGATGAGTTCTGATCACTGGCTGGATGGGTTTCCCCATTCCCTACGGTAACACTGCGTCTCCCCACCCCCACCCCCGCCCCCAGAACATGTTCAAAGTGGAGGAGGTGAACTGCATCTGTGTGGACTGGAAGCGAGGCTCCCAGACCACCTACACGCAGGCCGCCAACAACGTGCGAGTCGTGGGTGCCCAGCTGGCTCACATGCTTGATGTCCTTGTGGTGAGTGGGCCAGGGGGGCTGGGACACAAAGGTGAATGTAGGAGACGCAAAGAAGCAGACACCACCCCACCGTAGGGACGCGGGAGTAAAAAAAAAAAAAAACCAGCTCACACTTAGTGATAGGATTTCACTATCCTCTCGGGTTTGCAGGTAAAGAAACTGAGTCACAGAGGGGCTAACTAGCTTGCCAAAACATAAGTCAGGCGAGGAGAGGAGTTGGTCTGGGGGCTCGGATCATCTGGCTCCAGGAGCTGCCCACCACACAAGCCGGATGTGTACAAAGCCAAGCCTTGAATCAAAGCCAAACACAGCCGGGGGTCGGGCATGCAAGTGGCAAGCAGGGGTCCCTGTGACTGTCGGTCCCCGGATGCGGGGGGATTTTTCCTGCCCAGATCCTTTCAGTTGTTTCTTCCTGTCCTGGTCTCCGCTCTTAGCTAATCCTTTAGTCTCATTTCCATGTGTTAATTCAGGATTTCTTTATAGCTACTTTCTGTAGCAGGCCCAAGCGCCACTTATGGACAATCGGTCTACAGGGAAATGACTGCTTCTGCACCCCGGCGGACGTCAGAACCCTTGGGATTGCGCACAGAGCAGTGTAGGCGCACACGTTAGTGAGAGGGCCGTTGGGGATATCGCAGAACCTTGCGCGTGTGCGCCTCGGTGATCCCGTGTTTCTAGAGCAGATGCTCCACAGCATGCAAGGAGAAAGAAGGCCAGTGGCGTCTGAGGCCTTCGGGGGCCACAAAGGGAAGAGACCTGCGGTGACCACAGAGTATGGTCTACTAGACCAGCAGTTCTCAACCCGTGGGTCACGACCCCTTTGGAAGTCAAATGACGCTTCCACAGGGGTCACCTGAGACCATCAGAAAACACAGGCTATTTATATTATGATTCATAACAGTAGCAAGATTGTAGTTATGAAGCAGCAATGAAAATGACTTTGGGATCCATCTCTAGATGGTAGCTAGGCAAGAAGACAGGAAGATGGACTACAGTGTAGTGTAAACCAGGCCCAGGGGTGAGGGAGTGTGACACTGTTTGAAGCCACAATGAGTTTTAGCTAGAGATGAGTCTGAGAAGGGCCACTTGGAGCCGGGAAGGTCCCCAGGCCCTTGTGGGCATTGGGGCTCGATTCCGAGGCCCCAGAAAGCAGGGAAGGTTCCCAGCAGGGGAGTCATGGTAACCAGAGCACAAGCCCACCCTGTCATCTCTCCTCTCTAGACAAACTACAGCTACTCACCTTCCAAAGTCCACCTCATTGGCCACAGCCTAGGAGCCCATGTGGCCGGGGAAGCAGGAAGTCGGACTCCAGGCCTAGGCAGGATTACTGGTAAGGCCCCACGTCACATTCCCACAACCCCAGGATGGCCATAAGCCCATAGCCCAGCTTATAGCTGTCTGAACCCCTTGGCTTGGAACAACATGGATGGAGATTGCCTTGCTATTGGCAAGAGAGATGGTGGCTGTGTTTCTCTGTGATGCTTCTGCTGTGGCCCTAGTTGCTCCTCTCCAGGTGCGACATTTCCCTTGATATGGGTCTGGCAGCAGCTTTTGAACACCCAGGAAAATGCAGAGTGTAGCTAGTACAGACAGGAGCAAGTATTCTTGACCAGGGAGGGACTACACTACCCATCGCTTCCTTCTTCTCTTTAGAAATCAGGCCAAGAGTGGAACCTGGAAATAGCTTCCCACTTTTTCTGCTGGAAAAGGGATCCCAGCTGCAGTAACTACCCAAAACGCTCTTTAACTGGTACCGTCAAAGCAGCCTTCAAACACAGCAAAGCAACAGAACATACCTGCATGGGAATATTAATGCCATTACTAAAGGAAGCAAAGACTAAGTGCCTGGTTACCCTAAATACTGCAACAAGCACTTCGTGTGTGTTCCTCACCTAACCCTTAGAACCAAAGAAACTCCATCAGGGAAGCAAATAGCTGGCCATAGAACACACAGACTGTGGGAGTCCATGGTCCCTGCCTGTGCCACACATTGTACATTGAATTATTTAGTCAGCAACAACTGTATCAATTGATGAAGTTGTTATCTTCAATTTATAAAATAGGGAAAGCGAGACACAAAAGTCTTGAACAGCTTTCTCAAAGTCATGCACAACTTGCCCAAAAAGTAGCAACCGGAACAGGCCCAGGACTCTGTTTTCTTTACTAAGATATGAGAAAGAATATTAAATGTGGAAGATACATGGAAGAATCTGATGTAGAAAGAAAGAAATCCTTTATTATTATTATTATTTGGCTACAACAAAATCCGAGTTATTTTCTCGTTTGCTCTCTTCTCCTGCCCCCAAACCCCCTTGAAACCCGTAGCCCCGAGACACCACGCCCCGTGTTCTGTAGACAGACAATGACAGTATGTTACGAGAGTGTGGTACCTGTGCAATTGCATGTTGGCAGCCTTTGCAACCACACACCTTGGTCCTTCACGTTTGGCCCTTCGCTGTTTGACCTGTTGGCCATCTCCTTTAGGACTGGACCCAGTAGAAGCGAGTTTTGAAGGCACTCCCAAAGAGGTCCGACTCGACCCCTCAGACGCTGACTTCGTTGATGTGATTCACACAGATGCAGCCCCCTTGATCCCATTCTTGGGTGAGCCCCGTGGTGTTTTGGTCTCTAGCTGCGGACAGGACTGATGGTGTTTTAATTCCGAGAGTACTATACAACCCAAAGCATCTCATTGTCGTTACAAATATTTTAGGTTTTGGAACAAATCAAATGATGGGCCACGTTGATTTCTTCCCCAACGGGGGACAGAACATGCCTGGGTGCAAGAAGAATGCCCTGTCACAGATTGTGGACCTAGATGGCATCTGGTCAGGTAAAGCCATGGGGTCCAGTCCGGGAGGACAGGGCATCTTCGGGGTACTCAGAACTTGCCATGGCAGATTTCCCCCACTGTGTGTGTGTGTGTGTGTGTGTGTGTGTGTGTGTGTGTGTGTGTGTGTGGGCTAATGGAAAACTTTGTGTGTCACTCTTCAGACACTGTGCAATTTTTTAAATGATGCAAGGTCCCTCATTGGTCTAGAGAAATGTCTCTACCATGCCATCACGAGTAAAAGCATGCATTGCCACAGTTTTTTCCACTTGGGTTTCAGGCATCAAACTCAAGTCCCCATACTTTCAAGGCAAGCATCTTACTGACAGAGTCATCTTACCAGCCCCATAGCAAATCTTAATAATAAGAAATGTACTTCCTTTTTAAAATATATGACTTTCTTTTCTGCATATTGTTTCTGAAAAAATAAAAATAACCACAGTGCTCAGTGTTTCCTTAAAACATTGTCATGGATACACTGGGCCACATAACAAGGAATCACGAAGCTCTGTCTTACAGCTATAATCCCAGCTGTCAGCTAGCAGTCACACATACAGAAGGGAAGGTAATAAAGAGTGGCATGATGGATATCCCAAGAGAATGTCCCTGCAAACGCTCCCCGTGCATCAACATTATGGTTCGGTTCAGTAACTAGAATAAGGGTATGCCAGAGGTATGCATGGCAAAGCCATCTCCACAAGGCAAGTCATTGCTCACTTATGTTGAGAAGGAATGAGGAGCAATCACGAGGGAGGCTAGAATGGTAATCATACCTGGAGATAAAGGGCATCCTTTAGTTAACAGTTCCAATTCTTCCTAGTGAGAACAAGAATTCAACGGTCACTTTTCAGCTGGCAGCATTCGAGTTAAAGCCCATAGTGGTATGGCAGAATCTTACGAGTGTCATTTTTGCTCAGTCCAATCAAAACGGCTTGGGATGTCCTTGATGCACACGTTAATAACACATGTTTGGGCTTAGACGGCTCCATCAGCGGTGGGCGATAAAGTTCAGGGCAGGTCTAGGTGGAACGCTGGGAGATTTGTCAAGTTGCTTGGGCAAGGACATGAAAGAACATGGTAGGAGTGAGCAGATAAGATTGACACTAGGCTGAAGGCACGGGAATCTATGTTCCCTCCGTTTGTGTAAGTGTCTCAGTACTTACTGTGTCACTTACCGAGGGACGGGGCACATCTGGTTCCAACCTCATTCCTGGACAGAGGCTGGAGGGAGAGTATTGAGTACCAGGTGGGCAGTGTTTCGTTTCAGCTCTCCGCTTTAGTATCTGCCATCCGAGAATCGTCTGTGGGGACTCTTACAAACGTGACTCCATGAAACCTGCCTCCTGGGAGAGGGGAGCATCGCCCCTAACACCCAAAGCCTCATTTGTTTATTATCATTGTGTGGATAAATTATGGGCAGGTTCTGTAGATACAGTCCCACTCTGGACCTATCTCACTGGAGACCTATCACACTGCCTCCAATTGCCCGAACTGACCTCCCGCCTTGCGTCCCCAGGAACCCGGGACTTTGTGGCTTGTAACCACCTGAGAAGCTACAAGTACTACTTGGAGAGCATCCTTAACCCTGATGGGTTTGCTGCATACCCCTGTACTTCCTACAAAGACTTTGAGTCTGTAAGTTATTACTCCGTTATGAATGATGGGCACACTCACTGCAGTCCCAACATGTGGGCACCCACAGTTCATCTCCATGCATGTCTGCCATGTCCCTCAGAATGCGCACTCCCGTGGAGTGGGGGCGGGGGGAAGCCGTTTTTGTTTGTGCATCTATACATACATATGTATATGTGTACAGAGAGAGAGAGCTAAAATGGGCCATGTAGGAGAGGAAATACACATCCTGGAAGATCAGAGAACAGATCCACATGAGTTTGGGGAGCATCCTGCAGAAGGGTACACTGGAGTTTGATTTGGAAAAAAAAAATGAGAGAGATTAGGAGTAAAATGAGCACGACTTTCTGTAGAGCATACGAGAATTGTGAGGACAGTGTCACCCTCAGTCAGGAATGGGGGAAAGGCAAGTCCTGGGATTCCATGTGCCAGGCTGGCCACGGGGAGGAGACAAACTTCACGGCACACTGCTGCCTGCCTCATTGACTCGTGGGAGCCAACAGAGCATCCCTCATCAGCTAGGGATGAGGTCGCCACACTAGTGACATCATGCTGGCAGCCTGAAGGTGGCCAGGGCTGGAGCTCAGTTTATAGAACACAAGCCCTGGGTTCAATCCACAGCACCTTAGAAACCAGTATCTAGCCCAAGTCTTCGGCCCCAGCATTCAGGGGGCCATAGTAGGGGATTCAGAAAGAAAGAAAAAGAGCTCTACCGTCGGTGTGGAGAGCTGACACATTCTGGGAAATAGAACTGGTGGAGGCTGCACCCAAGATGGCAGAGCCGTTGGTCGTCCTGACAAGCTGAACATCACGGCCAGGAGCTCTGCTGAGATGGAGGGGGTTTGGAGATAAGGGGCTCCAACTCTCTTCCCATCGCAAATGAGGGGACAGGGCTACAGGAAATGGAGTGACAGCTTTCTCCAGCCACCCTGGCCGCAAGAAGATGGATCTGCTTCTTAGCCTCCTGCTCCCTTTCCTAGGACAAATGCTTCCCCTGTCCAGTTCAAGGCTGCCCACAGATGGGTCACTATGCCGATCAGTTTGCGGGCAGGATAAGCGAGCAACCACAAAAGTTCTTCTTGAACACAGGAGATGCCAAGAACTTTGCACGTAAGTTGACCACTTGCCCAGGTCAAGAATGCACCATGCCTGTTACGAGGGGAAGCTTGCCTCTCGCCCGAAAGAGTTTTGAACACATTTGACGGAGTGCAGGTTTGATTTTATTATTTATCATGGCTTTAACTGTAAGTGGGTCCAGAGGGGCCACCTGGGAGCTCATTTAAGATGCGGATTAGCAAGTGTGATTTGTCATACTCTGCTTCGATGCACAGGCACAGCTGATAATCTGGGCTAACCTCTCCCTCGCTTTTCCCAGGTTGGAGGTACAGGGTTTCCTTGACACTGTCTGGAAGAAGAGTCACTGGGCAGGTCAAAGTGGCTCTGTTTGGAAGTAAAGGCAACACTCAACAGTATGATGTCTTCAGGTAATCCCCCGCACGGTGTGCACAGCACTGAATAATTACATCTTTAGACGTGAGGGGGTTTGAAACTACTCTATGTGCAGAGAATAATTTTATACTTCCAATAACTTCTAATTTAAACATAACCATCTCTTTCCCTCTTGATATATTATACCTTAAAAAATCTATTGTTGTTCCAGATAACATGTTAAGCTAAGACAATTTCTCACAATATAGGTCATTCTTAAAAAAAAAAAAAAAAAAAAAAAACTAAAATAGTTTGAGAGAGTTTTATCATTTTCTGAGAGAGAGAGAGAGAGAGAGAGAGAGAGAGAGAGAGAGAGAGATTAATTTGAGTTTGAAAAGCAAGCCTAAATAATAGATTGGGGTTGGCTGCTTATTGCCAACTTTCCATTACAAGTCAGATAAGAGTGGATGGGCATGGTCCTGTGTCATCGTTATAGTGTGCTTCCGTGAACATGAATGTTTCTCCTTCTTTACTTCAAGGGGCATTATGAAGCCAGGTGCTACACATTCCAATGAGTTTGATGCCAAACTTGATGTGGGAACAATTGAGAAAGTCAAGTTTCTTTGGAATAATCACGTGGTAAACCCGAGCTTCCCCAAAGTGGGTGCAGCCAAGATCACCGTGGAAAAGGGAGAGGGGCAGACGGTGTACGTATCTTCCTTTGCTTTGTTATCCAGGGGTGTTTGCGGAGGATTACAAGGGGGAGTCCCCTCCGTGGGGACGGATAAGAGAAACGAAATAATTTGAAAGAGGACAGAGAAAGCACAGAGGGGCAGGGCTTGAGGGATCCCAGCCCCACCCACAGCTCCCTCCTTCCAACTTCTATAGAAAAGAGGACAGCTGGTGTGGGGAAGAAGGGAGGACCTGGTGATTTGGAGCTCCACTCCAAGTCAGACCACAGGACTTTTGAAGCTTTGTGTGGAGTCTCACCTACTGGCATCCTTGGGGATTGGTATTAAAAAAGGGGGGGGTGGCAAACTCAGCCCCTTGGAAATATCACTTCCTAGGGTGGGGAGGAAAGGTTGACTTGTGGTTGACTCACGGGTCACCAACTTGGGTGGACTTCTGAAGCCGCCCGTTTCCATAAGGTGGGAAAGCAGAGCCGTCAGACTGGCCAGGTGACCAGCAGGACTCAGGTCCTCTCGGTGGGACTACAGCACAGGCCCAGGCTGGCCAGTGGAGAGCCTCCCCTCCAGCCTCCGCTGCAAGCTGCTGCCCCTAGAGTCAGACCCTAAGTTCTGTTAAGTATTCCAAGGCCTGGGTCCTGCCACTGTGTAGCTAAAGGCACATTAGACTGTCACTGGAATCCTGAAGGTTTCTGCAGAGAGATGTGCACGCTCTGGAAATCAAACAGATCTAGCTGAATAGAACTCCCGAGGCCCTGTGGCCCTGAGCCCCGCTATTCCCATGGGCCCTCCAGTGGCTGAGTAGGGCTACTTTGTCTACTGACTCTCTGTGGGGAGAGTCTTTCTTGAAGGTTTTATGCATCTTTTTGGCATGTGCCATGGCCCACACAAACTCAGAAAACAACTTGCTAGAGCCAGTTCTTTACGCTGAGGCTGCGAGAGTTAGGGGGGGTCAAACTCACGTCAGCAGGCTTGGCTGCCAGGGTCTAAGAATCTCTCAAGTGATCTGACACCAAGTGGTTAAATATAAGAAAGTCAAAAACCCACTCCAAATGCCACAAACTAGCTTGGGGGAGTAAGAAATTCAACTAATAAAGTATTCAGACATTCTACTGTTAGGAGAATTTGCCGGGAACACTTGTTACTAAATAGCACTAATAATAATTATAAAGTTAAACAGAAACCAGTAGTGTGACTCAACCTCTCCTGGGCTCCCTCTCCCAAGTAACTAGTCATCTCAAGGGGATTCTAAGCACTACCTAGGACATGCTGGATGAACTTTCTTCCAGTGACATGAGACCAAAAGAAAAACAGAGACCCCATCCCATTCGGTCCCTACTGTAAACGTGACATTGAAAAGGATTCCACGAGCACTTGTCCCAGAAAATAGCACAGCCTGCATGAAGGAAGGTATACATTAGTTGTTGAGGTGCACATGGCAGATCACATGACCCAGGGGCCGGGCGGAAGACCTCCTCATCCATGGATAGAGTGGTTTACACAGGTGAACCCTTCGACGTACTTGCTGGCAACTGAGAATTCAGTCTATCGCAGATACCACAGCATTCAGCTGAGCCTTAAGAGTGTGGAGGGAAGCTCTTGGGCTGCCTCCAAGCCCGCCTGCTGTGACCGCCAGCATCTGTTAAAATGAGAGAAGGAAGGTGCTGCCTTGGGAGGCCGTCGTCCACGTGTGACAGGATCACTTCACAGCAACAGCAGGCCCTGCCCTGGGCTGGTTGGTTTTTTAGCGGAAACTCGGATGGTGGCAGCCATAGCCCTCATGTTCCTCTCCCAGGCTCTGAACTGTAACCCGTTGCTCAACACTCAGATAGCGGTAGCTTTCCTAGGGATGATGGACCACGCCAGTACCAAACACTGTGTCTCCCTGCAGGTACAGCTTCTGTAGCGAAGACACAGTGAAAGAAGACACTCTGCTCACTCTCATGCCTTGTGATAGCCCAGACACGCTGTGACCTCATCGATGCCAATAAAATCCTCTGCCGCACGTGCCCTCGCACGCAGTGTCTATCTCGGGTGTCAGCCACCACCCATGGGGGCATTCAGCAACTGGATATTGAAAACGCTGACTAGCTTTTCTCTGTATGTGGGTCTCTCGCCTGGGCGTCTAACAAAGTTCCACCTTACCTCCTCACTTTTCCCTTTCTCGGAGAGGGTGTAGATTCCAGCATAAGTAAATGAGGAGCGGCCAATGACTCAGCCGAATCTGTGTCCTCTCTCACTGTGAGGAACCGAGGCAGTGAGCAGGGAGGGTCTACACTTACACGTGAATTCCGGCGCCCATCAGGCGCGATAGCTGAGTTCAACTCCACTGTCTCCCGCAACCAGGTACTGACTTTGGAGTCACGGAAATACTTTACGGTGCTCATTTCCTGGCAGATTAGAGGAGGCTCTTGCTGAGAAACTCAGAGACTAGTGTGAGCTCATGTGCACGGTCAGCCCCTCTAGACTACAAGACTACTGCTCAAGGCCCTCCCTGCTTGCCTACCTGCAAGCTCTGAAGGGTCTAGGATGGATTCTAGGAGATCGGAGATGCATGATGCAGACTTCCTGCTAGAATCACAATGCAGACTTACTTCCCACTACAATTGCTAGTGATCCCTCAGTCATCAAGGTAACTCTGACATGATCGCCTTCACACAGACTCAGGTATGGGTGGGCACTTCCAAGGTGACCCAGGGCCATGAGCACTCTCTATCTGAACCAGCAAGATGCACCTGTGACTTTCCAAAGTCACAATTTGTTGAATAACAATAAACTGACAAGTCATACCGGCATTCTTGGGTGAAATTCACCCAGGGCCCCGGCTTCGCTTGTTAGTCACAGCCATGGCCATGGACAATCACGAGTCCTTTCGTCCTGGTCTTAATTACTAGGATCAACTCCCAAATCTTACTGTACACTTTGCATCAGATAAGGGGCCGGGTCAGAGGTTTTATGAACTGCAGTACAGAGCTGTTCAAAGTGCAGACTCGTCAAACGCAGGTCCGGGTGTACCCAGGCTGTTCTGAGTATCACTGTGAAATAGGCTGAGACATGGGCAGGAGATGCCTACACCAGGGCTGGAGCCTGGGCTCACAGGGAGCGGCCCCCATGTGGTCATTTCCCCCAACAAAGGGCCAGACAATGAGCCAGCCCACCTGCCACATCTGCATCTAGGAATGACCCTTGCGTAGTCCTGGGTCTGGAGTGACTGATGGGCTCCTATGTCTAGAGTTTCTGGTGCGACTTGGTATGTTCACAGGTACCATCATTCATTGGCAGAATAATCAGTTTGTGCCTCATGGGGTAAAACAGATGGAGGCTTGTAACGAGAAGAGGCTTTTCCTCCCGCCGCCAGGTCTAGTCCTGCTGCTGCGCCGCCAGCCCGCCATTTGTAATGAGTACGGTTTATCCGCCTGCCGCCGCTGGTCTTGTCCCGCCACCACGCCGCCAGCCCCAAATAATACACAGAGACTCTGTATTTGATACAATACTGTTGGCCCAGTTACTTGTTTCTTATCGGCTAGCCCTGCCTTTAATTATTAACTATGTTTTTCTCTTACCGGGGAGCCGGCGCATACTGCTTTCTCCAGACTCTCCATCTTGGCTCCTCCTTACTACTTCCTATTTCCTCCTTGTCTCCTAGTCCCTCCTATCTTCCTTTCCTATTGGCCAACAGTGCTTTATTATTAACCAGTATGAGAAACATACAGAATGACCTCTCCCATCATCTCCTCTTTTCTGTCTAAATGAAAAGAAGGGTTTTAACCTTAACATAGCAAAATATATCACATAACAGTTATCAAATAAGAATCACAGTTAACACTATTTAGTCCATTAACATTTAGCAAGATTTGAAGAAAATATTCCATCATCTATCATATCTTTGTGTGTCTAAAGTCTAAGTAACTTATCTTTAATACTAAGGAAAACTGTAACCATAACTCTCTGTCTTCAAGTCCCTCAAAGACCACAGAAGGATAGTATAAACTCTAGAAATGACAGAGACAACTCACTGCCTGGTCACCCAAAGTTCTTTTGTAATCTTCCATCTTCAGCCCATAGGCCATAGTGTGTCTAGCAGACTCTTCAGCAACACGGGAAACTTTAAACTGTCTTCTTGTATTGGCAGTTTATCAGTCACTTTACTCTGTGCCCTGCATACTGTCTCGCAGACTCTTCCATGAAGCAGGAACTCTGTTGCAATGTCCATCTTGAATCAGCAGTCACTTTTCTGTGGGTCCTGCATGTCCAGTTTATACAGCATAAAGTCAAACAGTCCAGACAAGAGCAGTATCTTGTCCACATGGCTAGTCTTGCCATTTTGAAAGCAAACTCCATAACGAGTTTCTTCAATGTCCATCTTCCTTTCTGTTTCAGGTGGTATTGCCAAGAGCAATTATGTCTCACTGTCACGAAAACCCTAAACCATTTTAAATGCCATATTCTGTAGGTTTTTGAAATGTTTGAAGAATGCCTATTCATCTCAAATACATCTCTGTATATCTAGAAAACTTAACTAACTTAACTATATCTGACTATCATAGATACTATCTATAATCTGTATTGAATTATACATTACATTTCTAAACAATACTTAAACAAGAGGAGAAATATATATCACAAAATTGACCTTAAATTGTATCAATAAATGAAAATCCATTCCAAAACTATCTATACCATAATTCCCTTTTTACCTTTAAAAAGACATTGGTTGTGATCATTAACCATTTATAACCAAGTCCATTTAAATGAAAACAAACATTTATAAACAATATTTGGGAATTGGGGCGTCGTTCTTTCCAAACTACTTCCTGCTGACAGGGGGCACTGTCATGGGGGATCGTGAGAAGACACAGAAATCCTGGTTGTAGTCTGCGAGGCTGCTTTGTTCAGCTATTTTGAATGTAGGATCACCTGGTCCTCTGTTTCAGGGGGTCTGGCTTGATCAAACCACACAAGTCTGGAAGGAATCCACAGCTTTTTATTTTCTGTGGAAACAAAAATAGAAATCCTTTTCCCCAGTAACTTGTCCTTAAACTTAAATGTTGGAGTCAAAGCATTTTTAAAATATATAAATTTAATTAATCCAGCAGCATTTCCTTTATCAGTTGTTGTTATTTTCTCAGCAGTCAAACAATGTAGAGACAACACAATAGCATACAGTAACCAGATTCTCTCTGAGCTTTTCATCTTTACGTGGCTTTATTATTACTCCATTTCTTTTACTTTTTATTCTTTTATTTTTTGACATAGGGTTTCACTGTGTAACTCTTATCTGTCCTGGAATTTACTCTGCATTCCAGGTTTACTTTGCAAATCACAAGAGATCTGCTTGCCTCTCTCTCCCAATTGCTGGGATTAAAGGTGTGTGCCACCACACCCAGTTCCTCTTTGTCTATTTAAAACCATTTTTTTTTCATGTCTACGTATATTTTAAAACACACTGTAAACCTTTAGAGGATTTTCTTAATATGAATCTGTCTTTACTGTAAATTTTTATCTTTATCTGGCCACAAGTCTTTATCTGTTAAACAACAACATTGTTAAAATGAAAGTCTTTGTTGTTTCTGCAGAGGTTTATAAAAGTTGGCGGCTGCTATTTTACCGCCAGCACTGAAAGCTGCGCTCACTGCCTTGGTCTGCATGCTGCCGGCTTGAAGATGTGGTCACTGCCATTGCCATCTCTCATACACACCAATAAATTGTTAGCAGAGTTTCTTAAAAGATGTGTGGTTTTTTGTTCCTTATGATGAGTCAGGAACCTTCCCTTAAAGGAGTCCTGCGAATATCTGCTTGTCTCTCGCAAAACAGAGTCCAACCGAGAAAAATGCTGTTACCAAGAAACCTTGCTTATCTCTGTTCTTTTGTTTCTAAAACCCTTTTTTAAGCTTTTGTTAAATTTTAAGTGAAAGTTCTTATTAACCACGTGGGCGCCATTTGTAACGTGTACGGGTTTTTCCGCCTGCTGCCCGGTATTGTCCTGCTACCACGCCAATGCTGTTGGCCCTGTTACTTGTTTCTTATCGGCTAGCTCTGTCTTAATTATTAACCCATTTCTGCTGATCTATGTTTTTCTCTTACCGGGGAGCCGGCGCATACTGCTTTCTCCAGACTCTCCATCTTGGCTCCTCCTTACTACTTCCTATTTCCTCCTTGTCTCCTAGTCCCTCCTATCTTCCTTTCCTATTGGCCAACAGTGCTTTATTATTAACCAGTATGAGAAACATACAGAATGACCTCTCCCATCAGAGGCTGTTTATGTGTGTAAATAAGATGTGGATTTCATCTCTCCTGATACCTATACTCAGATGGAATGACTCAAGTCCATACCGTTGTTTTAGAAGACGGAGTAACTCACGACTAAGGCTGTGATTTTATAGAATATAGAGTAGCCCAGAGCAGGCCTACTCTCTTCTCACCCAACCTAGCCATAGGCGATTCAGGCAAGCCACGCCCTTCCCAGAGTGTGGCCCCTTTAGTCACCAGGCCTCAGTACCTGGCTCCTTCTGCCCAACCGAGTCACAACCCAAGACTTCTCAGAGCCTCGGACTTGAATGTGAGCACCTGGGAGTGGTGATGTGGAGGGAGAGGGCTTCCTAGTGCAACCGAGCAAACCTAAGTAAACCTCCACCGTTGACGGCCACGTGCCTTTAAAAGCTATTCATTCTGAGGACCAGAGAGGTGGCTTAGTGGCAGAGTACTTGCTGCTCTCAGAGAGAACACGGGTTCAGTTCCCAGCACCCGCACAGTGGTTCAACGTCCATCTGTCACTTCTGTCTCAGAGGTTCCAGTGCTCTGCTCACCCCCCACGGCCCACACACAGGCATGCATGTGGTACATGGACTCGATGCAGGCAAAGCAGCCACACACATTAAATAAGTAAATAAACAATTAGTACTGACTGGTCGTCACCCAGCTGACAGAATGCAGCATGCCTCTCTCCCTGCTGGCTTGCTTGGATGATGTCTCTGCTGTGCATGTGTGTTCTGATGCACGCCTCTCTCTTCTTGGCTTGCTTGGATGATGTCTCTGCTGTGCATGTGTGTTCTGATGCACGCCTCTCTCCCTGCTGGCTTGCTTGGATGATGTCTCTGCTGTGCATGTGTGTTCTGATGCACGCCTCTCTCCCTGCTGGCTTGCTTGGATGACGTCTCTGCTGTGCATGTGCTCTGATGCACGCCTCTCTCCCTGCTGGCTTGCTTGGATGATGTCTCTGCTGTGCATGTGTTCTGATGCACGCCTCTCTCCCTGCTGGCTTGCTTGGATGATGTCTCTGCTGTGCATGTGTTCTGATGCACGCCTCTCTCCCTGCTGGCTTGCTTGGATGACGTCTCTGCTGTGCATGTGTGTTCTGATGCACGCCTCTCTCTTCTTGGCTTGCTTGGATGACGTCTCTGCTGTGCATGTGCTCTGATGAGCATTTCTTTTCAGGGCCTTGACTGCCACTAGTGTCACAAGCACTCTGTTCTCCCTCGGGCCCATGTGGGTACCCTGCAAGTGACTAAAACTGTAGAGGGGCTTGGCACCCCTGCCTTCATCTTAGAATATCTGTCCCCTCGGTTACCTTACCCTTCGGAGACGAATATTTCTGCTCGGTTGTTTATATAGACAAACTGTCACTTAGGGAACGTTTGTCTGGAGCCAAGAGTTCAAGGCTAACCTGTCTGGAAAGTTCCCAATCTCTACCACTGAAGGTGAAATGGGCGGATCTAAGACTCTGCCAGGATGATGGAGCCATCGCCATCTTCGAATCTCTGGTTCCAGGACACTGGAGAGGCACCGAGAGACCCGCTGAAGGGGGTCTCTGCCCCTTGCTTGAGGGGGAGGGACTTGAAACTGGCACGGAGAGAGACCACCCTTGCTCCACGTTTGCCCTCCTCCTGTTTCTCGTCGTCTCGTGCCGCAGCTGAGTCCTTTCTTCCTTTCTCCAACAGCTTGTTCTCCGTCCACGGTGCCTCTTTTGAAATGTCAGATAAGCAGGCTCAGGTTTGGTAGCAACAGTGCAGGACACCGGCGAAGGCTCAATAACAGGTAGTTTGATGGAAGACATCCCCAGAAATGCCAGGCTGGCAGGCTAGCCGGGAGGAAGCAGTCACCATGGACATGCCAGCTACAGAGGATGAGAACTCTCTGCAGTTGGAACCCAGTGTGACTGAGGACAGATATAGTCCTGCAGATGCAGGTGTGGCCATGTGGTGGGGGGGGCAGTCATGGTCAATGGGCCTCAAGCTGGTGTAGCACCAAGACCCCAGCCCACTTCCTTTCCTACACACCTGGTCAAAGTGTCCCCAGTACTCACAGAAGGCAAAGGGCAGGTCCCAAGGTTAAACTGACTGGTGTGTGGGGGGCTAAGTACCCTGATACTTAGTGCTGCGCTGTGCACCTTCACGTGCTGAATCTAGAGATGGACGGACTCTGCTGGGGTGTGCACCCTCAGGTGCTGACCCCAGAGATGGACTCTCAAGTGGTGGTCCAGGGAGATGAACAGTCTCTGGTTCTGATGGTTATTCCACAGAGGACCTGCCAGTAGATATGCTCTGGACAAGTGGGATCAGGTTTCCAGACTCCAAGGGGAACCAGAAGCTGATTTCATTGGGTTTTGTGTGTGTGTGTGTGTGTGTGTGTGTGTGTGTGTGTGTGTAACTGAAGGCTAAGAAAGGTTCACAATGCACAGGAGGAGAATCTTTGGGGTAATAAAAATATACTCTGCTTTCATGAAGCTTTTAAATAATTCCAGACACTTGCACGGTTTGCTATGTGACATTTGTTCTTAGGGTGCATTCCCCCTCCCTTCAAAGATCAGACGCTGTGTGAGAACTTGGTACAGCTCCCTTCCTCCTTGGGATGTGGCGTCGTATCTGGATGACTTCCACAGGGAGGTAACTGACCTCCAGTGTTAGACTGGAGGATCCATACAAGCCCAGGAGTTTGATGACACTTTGGAAGGAACAGCAGACAACACCATGTTCTCTTCTACGACTTGCAAGCTTGCTCCCCAACTGCCTCGTGGCATTGCAGGACGTGTCCTCCAGGACACGTGTGGAAGTCAACTACCTTCCTTCCCCAACCTCTCACTCACATGTGGCAGTGTCCACCGGGGCTAGACCAGGCTTCCCACCAGGGCCTGCTTCTACTCAGGTAGGACAAGTAGACTGTAACGGTTGTGGAAGTCACTCTCTGTGTGGCTAATGCTCATCCTGTGTCATCTCTGTGAACTCGGTGTGCATTATCCTCGTCCTCAACCATTGCGAACCTCAGAAACATTGTACGAGTTCACAGATTGATGTGCACTTTATTATCATAATGCTCAGATGGCCACTGAGACTGTCTGGGGACAATGTAGCGGGGCTGTAAGTCAGGAGTAGGCTTAAGCCAGGGCACTTGTACAAAGGCTATCGCCTCTCTGGTTTATAGCTCCCTCATATATCCAATGGCAGCAATAAGTGAACCCCAAATTCCTAGCAATGGAGTCTGTAGGCTCTAACAAGGAAACCAACAGCATGGTAAACTGTCACGCTCTACCCTTGGCTGATACAAGCTAAAGTGGGTTAACTTCAGGGTGTGGTCATGGTCTGGTTACAGACCTACAGGTGAGGAGAGTTGTTATGGTCCCAATGTGGTGAATGCAGGCTTTGCGTCCAAACCATTTATACCCTGTACACAATCTCCCAAGGTGCGCAGGGCTGGCCCTGGCCCAGGGACATCAGAGTCCAAGGACCGATGAAGACACCATCAAGAAGTTTTCGGTGTCTCCCATCCAGGTGGCAGACCACAAAATCACACAGAAACACATGTAAAAGGAAAACCCCACACGAGCAATTAAAACACAGTCACAAGATCTGGCCCCTGGAAAACCTGCGATTAATTCCCATACTCATGCAGGTGAGGGCCCGTCCATCCCCAGGGCTGAATCAATTTCTCATTTCTTTGCCAGGTTGCCTACTTAGTTTTTAGTTTTCACGATTACCTTAACCAGTTTTACAAATAAGGGGTTTTTTTTTTTTTTCTTTTGCCTTGTGAGAACTTGCATTAAAACTTTTGTCTCCTGAACTAATGCTTAAAGAATATTTCAGGTCATCATGAGAACATTTTAGAAGAATGGCCTCTGCATATCTACTGGAACCTGACAAAGTTTGAGGAATCTGGCTGAGGACCAAATCTGTGGAAGAGCTAGACACAGGCTTTGAGAACAGACACTTGCCCTGTGGCCCTGGGAGAAAGAGCAAGCAAGCATGTGAGTGGGTGTGGGGTGTGACAATGTCCCTGGCAGAAGGAACTGCAGGTGTGAACACTCGCGTAGCTATAATAAATGCCTGGTGCAGAGTAAGGTATAAAGGAAATGATTTCATAGTTGTAGACACAGGGAAGCTCTGTGCAGAGTCTGTCCTCTGGAAAAAGCAGGTGCACTCTGCAACGGGTTCCTCTGTCTGTAAAACTGTCAGACAGCAAGACATCAAGGATGGCAGGGCTAAGCCTGGAGCAGGCCACATGCAGGCTGTGTTAATTTGCTAGGACTGCTAGCAAAGTAGCATAGCTAGGTGGCTTCAACAGAAGACGCCCTTGTCTTCTGGAGACCAAGAAGCCAAGGACCAAAGTATAGACGAGCTTGACTCCTTCCATGGGGCACTAGGGCACATCCACCCAGTGCCACCCATCCAGCTTCTGGTAGATTGCCTGCAGTGTTTGGCATGCCTGTATGATCTCTGCTTCATATTCACATGACCACACTGTATGTCTCACTCTCTAAGCCCAGATCCTCTCCCCTTTATCAGGACAAGCATCTCAGTGGACCAGGGCTTACCCTAATGACATCATCTTAATTTGATTACTTCTACAAAGATGAAACTCTGGTTAGATCCTGTTTTAAGGCACTTGGGGGAGGAGTCAGTATTACAACCATTTGGAGGGTAGGAAAGACATGAGTCAATATATATTAGCAGCCATAATTTGAATGACCCCTAAGTTCATGTCAGAAGTAATCCCCATTTTCGATGGCATTGAGAGATGGGTCATTATGAGAAACTATTGAGTCCTACAGAAAGTTAGTGTCCTAGAAAGAGGCTTGGGGTTGTTAATACACCCATGTCTCCTGCCAGGCAAAGATGGAGTTGTCCCTTTCCATCAACTCTGCCATGGCAGAACCCAGCAAAAAAGCTCCATCTTGGAAGCAAAGAACAGACTTTACCAGATGCCAGATGTTTCATTTTGAGCTCCTCTGTTTCCACAACTATGACAAAAAAAAAAAAATTCTTATAAATTATCTGGTATCAGGCATTTATTCTAGCTACACAAATAAACACAGACAATGCTTCATATACCTAGCGTAGGAGCTTGAACTCTAAATTCTGGCCACTTTCCACAGCAATTCTTGGTGTGAAATAGACCGGATTACATGTAGTATAATCCCGATGGGAGCCCCGCTAGTGCGATTTCTCTTGTTGGCATTCTTAATTATCGGTAATTGTATATTTGCTTATCATCATGTGTCCTGTGGGACTCTGGGTCCCCTAAGAGGTAGGAGGCTGGGTGCTTCATAAGTTCGCTGTTGTACCAGTCTCCTGTCTATGTGAAAGATACCCGAGACACACAGCTCACATGCGTGGCGTGGCTGTTTTTCTCTGGGCTGGACCCTTGAAACAGAGCAGCTGTGGTTATCTGCATAAGACCCCCACAAGAGCCAGCCTATTGACACTCCCTCGTGGAGGGATACGGGAGATAAGTAAGACTCACGAGGTCCCTCCTCTCCCAGAGATCCCAATTACCACTCCAGAAGAGATAAATGATTGACTTGGGTGACGCTGGCCGAGTCACCCAGGCTCCTGATAGAAAACCAATAAACGCTCTGCTCTACCAAGATGGACTTCCTCAGGTCCAGCAGCTCCCGAGGTCTGCAGTCCATGGTCACTTGGCCTGTGGTAACAAAGTGCGTCACAGCAGGAGCATGACGCAGAGGACACTTGATAAAGTCATGACGGTATGGAACAGCGAGAAACCGGAGGAGGTCAGAGTCCCAGCACCCTCTCTGTGGGCACACCCTCAGTGACCTTACTTCCTTGCACTAGGTCCCACCTCCTAAAGACCCTGACACCTCCCAAAGCCTGGGCACTGAGACTTTCACACAGGGACCTCTGGCAGGAACATTCAAGATCCAGACTATAGCAGTGCAAGAGAATCGAGCACATTGTAGTCCCATGGAAATGAACGCAAATGGGATACTGTAGGGCTCGGGCATCTAAGACACGGGGCCGCCTACAGGACTAGAGCTGGGAGGTCTGCAGGAAGTAAGTGCCAGGGGGGGGATAAATAAAACACTGATTGGCCAGCAGCCAAGCCGGGAGCATAGGCCGGGCTACCAGACCAGGAGAAGGCTAGGGAGAGGGAGGCGTAGAGGAGCCACCAAGAGACGCCATGCAGAGGCAGAAGGAGTAACATGCTGGGTAAGCCAAGAGCACGTGGAAATACTTAGATTAAGAGGAATGGGTTAATGATTAAGAGAGAGCCAGCCAGTAAGAAGCTTCGGCCATCGGCCAGACAGTTTACAAATTAATGTCTTTGTGTGTTTATTTGGGACTAATCGGCTGCAGGGCCAGACAGAACAGAAACTTCCATCTACAAGTTCAAGGGCAAAGGGAGTGGAGGGGTTTGTAAGACAGATGGGCCAAAGGTGTAAACACAACATGGCCCAAGCCAGCCCCGGCCTCAGGCAGCTGCAGAGCCAATTAGCAGGGATCATGAGGCCCCAATCCAGCTTGATCTCCACAAGTGGTTGGCAAAGGGGCTTTCCCACAGGTACTGGCCTTCATTTCCTATTCACAGCAGACGATGGGAAGAACTCCAGGTCTTCTGTGCACCCCCAAGAAGGGCTTGAGACTGAGAGGAAGCAGACTTGGGCAAGCAGGTGGAAACTAATGCGTGTGCCTGGATACAGCTCCATTGTCTTGCAGGAAGAGGCTGCACAGGCTCTGAATTTCTCAAGGGTGCATTTGCCAGTTTTCCTCCAGATGCCACTCCAAGTTGCCTCGCGGTGTGTGTAGGACACCCTGCCCCCTCTGGAGGCAGCTGAGTGCCAGCTGAGTGTTTCCAAGTCCCGCCCACTGCTGTGTCTGGGAAGAGAGAGGAGTACTATTGTGTAAGATGGGGCCCCGTTGTCTCAGCTGTGAGGTGAGACTCAACACATCTCTGTTTCACGAGCCTCATGCTGCTCTCAGAACAGAGGTCCAGCCACTGACATTTTCTCTGCAGACACCCGAATAACCACTGTCCTCTGCTCTGTGCGTCCAGATGTTCAACTTCTTTCTCATCACCTCTTAGGCGGTTTCTTATCCACTGTACAGCGGGGGTTGAAATTGTGACAGGCCTGGGAGGCTTGGGGGGAGTTCTGAAGAAACACTCACGCCCCTCTTCGGCTGCAGGACTACTGAAACGATGGGCTCCCGGGAATGAGACTCCCCCAGGAATCTGATGCTGGAAGAGAGAGGCTAACCCTGGGCCACTCGGAAGGGGAATTTTCTTCTCCTGAAAAGAGATTTGGAACTTGTCAGCGAACCTTTCAGGAGAGTGAAGCCAAAGCAAGGATGGGTCAGCTATGGGAGGGACCATGCCTTGACTGGGCTGTTTAGATATGCACGATTCGGGCCCTCTGCTTACACCTAAACCTCATGGCACGGTCTGGAGGACAGACTTGAGGTGGGGGCATTTCAGTGGGATAAAACACCTCCCTACCCCTCTTCCCAGTGTGGCCGTGTTGCATAAATTACATTTTGCTTCTTAACTATTAGTTTAGCTTTTTTAATTGGCTTATTAAAAATGGGTGTGATGAGGAGGGTTCCCTTCTGTATATGTTTCTCTTATTGGTTGATTGATAAAACACTGATTGGCCAGGCAGGAAGATAGGCAGGGTTACCAGATGAGGAGAATTCTGGAAAGCGTAGGCAGACAGGAGTCGTGATGTGAGCCCGGAAAGAGAGGACAGACACATCAGGCATTCTCTGGTAAGCCAAGACCACATGGAAGTACATAGGTGGAGGTAGGCAGGCCTCCATTACCCACCACCCCGCAGGCCTCCCTGGGGTTTGCTGCTTACAAGATTTAATTGAGGTTCACGGCTGACATTTCAAAACTGCTCTGGAACTGCATTTTTTATTTATGACAGTAGGTTTAACTTTTGTAATTTTTTTCTTTTTCTTTTTTTTTTTTTGAAAGTTTTTGTGGCTTCATTTTTATTATTTTAGCATCCACATAGTCATATGTGTTTAGATTCAAAAGGGCACCGTATTCCCTCCTGTTTAATTTAATTTTCCCCCTCTCCCCCCAGGTTTTCTTCTCAATGCCGCGTCCCTTCCCACTCTTGTGACCTGCATGAACACTCGCCAGACACGATAGCATAGTTACACGCATGCGCTCAGAATGTCTGGGAGTGTGCGCACAAAATCAAGCCAGACAAAAATCCCATCAAGGAGGGAGGAGGGCTGATGAAGTCCCTCCTCTGTATTGAGGAGATATTGCCGGCTGGTGGCTGTTGGGAAAGGGAGAATAACTTCTGCATTTTTAAAATCATAACTTTGACACAGGGCATTTTTTTTTCAAGGCAGGATTTTTCTGTGTAGCTTTGTAGACCTGGCTGGCCTCAAATCCACAGAGATCTGCCCGCCTCTGCCTCCCATGTGCTGGGATTAAAGGCGTTTTTTCTAACTATTTTGAAATGTTGCTTCTCCGTTAGGATGTACTAATTCACATCTGGGAGCTGCTCTTACTTGTGATCAAGTCTTGTATCAATTACCATGGAAATGGGCCAATATAATGGTACTCTGCATCCAGCATCTTCTGTCCAATAAGGAGCACTGAATTCACAAGTGGTTTCTACCAAGGTGCGCGCGAGAGAGAGACTGGAACAGGTTGTGTGGTGCTGAGACAGAGACAAACACTTAGGGTTTAAACGTGGCTGACCTGCCTGCCTACTGCTCTGGGACAAAGCCCAGCTCTTCCCAGATCCACCACCAGAGTGTGTGCAGCTGGTGGTACCTTAGAACCATCTTTGGAAACACACTATGCTTAGCAAGGACCACATCTGTGGGAGCGTTTGGGAATACCTTCATGGAAACTGGGGTAGGGAGATTGGGGCGTGCTAGCTCTTGGGCATCTCTATAAAACTACATAACATCCCTGATTTCCCTTGTGTAACTTAGCTCTGATACCCACTCAAAAGGGGATCCATGAGCACTCAGGTGTCCCCTGTCCCACCATGCCTGACCTGTGCAGCAACTGTAAAAGGCAGCGGGAGCTACAATGACGGTTCAGTGGTTAAGAGCTCTTGCTACTTTTGCAATGGACCAGAGTTCAATTCCCAGAACCCCTGCTGGGTTGCTCAGAATGGCCACAACTCCAGTTCTCGGAGATCTGATGCCCTCTCTGGCCTCAATAGTCACCGTGACACTTGGACACACACACACATACACACCACACACACACCACACACACACCACACACACACACTCATGCACACACGTGCACACACACACACCACACACACATACCACACACACCACACACACACACCACACACACACACACATACCACACACACACATACCACACACACACCACACACACCACACACACACACCACACACACACATACCACACCATACACACACACACACCACACACACACCACACACAGACACCACACACATACCACACACACACACACCGCACACACCACACCACACATGCACACACCACACACACACACCACACACACACACACCACACACACACACAATTACTGGTGCATGTGAGAACATGGGCGCATCTCAAAGCTCTCAAAGATGCCCTCCGTGAGGAGCAAAACACATTCAAGTATCAGCTCCTTTTCCAAAAGTTCTAGAACAAAGTAGAAATAGAGATCGTCACGTATGCCATAACATTGATGGTGAACGAACCACCATGGACCCTTCTAGCCAAGGGGATCTTGACCCCGACATATCCACAGGGCGTGCATTCTCCAGAACTCACTGCCAAGTTTTTAACTACAGATCCTGTCCTTCAGTTCGCCCATGCATCGTGCCAACCTAACACACAGCAGGGTGGCCACCTGGCTGTTCCCACGGCGGCTTCTTAGCCGTGAAGGAAAGAAAACACCTTTACTTCTTATCTCCAGGCCAAAGTACAGCGAGCAGCTCACAGGTGCTTTGCAAACAGTGTGGATAATTTCTGAACAAGCCTGGCTGGGAACAAAGTCATCAGTGTGGCCGTGTCCCTCCGCACCTCCTGCGCCCTTCCTATCTCTTTCCGGGTTCCCTGGGGCGGAGGACTGCCAGAGGACTGCCGGTGCTCCCCACCCTACCCCAAGTGACCAAGGCATGTGTCTTCACAAGTACTTCCTTTCATTGAACAGCAAGTCCTAGGACACCCACCCGCGGGGTCTGCTGGAAGCAACAGAGTGGCTTGTGTCTGGAGGGACTGTGATGAGGATGGCACAGCAAGGACTCCCTTCTTCCCCGGTCTTATTTAGACACAGTGTCTACAGTGTCTAACCCTGTGGACTCAGGAGGAACCACAGAGCCCTTCCTTTCTCATCCCCCGTGGCTCTTTCTTTCCCTTGAATTTCTCTTTTTAGTAGATCCGCTCCTGGGGTTCAGGGCACTCATTCAGCCCTCTCTCTCCTGACCTGTCCTGGCCTGGCAATTCTTCAACAGAGTCCAAAAGATAAAACGTGTTTGTAGGAGGTCACGGCCAAGCCTTTGATCACTATACATCCCGCTTACCACCTGAACAGGATTGGAGCCAAAGGGGGACGTGGTCCAGGAGGAGGCTCTGAGCCCAGGATCCCAGGGTGGTGCTCTCTGACTCACGGCACCCTGGGAGGCCTCCGCCTCTGGCCCCGCCCTCCAGGGATACCCTCATCTATGCAGTCCAGGCTGCTGGGCTTCTAGTCTGCTCACCTTCCCAGGTACACTTGGGAAGGGCCACCTTTTTGAGACCTGCCCCTGCTGGCCTCATCCCTGTGGTGCATACGCGTGTCGTACATACCTGCTGCCAACTGTGCAGATGCTGCTCTGCTGGATCTTCGGCCTTCTGCTGGCCACCGTCAGAGGTGAGCTCGCTGTCACCGTCCCTCTAGAGAAAAGGTGATGGCAGGAGCTTGATGTCGTGGAGATCTGTAGGCACGTCATAGGTGCGTAATGTTAAGAACAGTGTGACTCGATCTCACGAGCAGCTCCCCGGCTGCTTTACTGCAGGCGAACGTGTCTTGAATTTGTCTGATAAGGGCGCTTATTAAATATGCTGTTGCAGGGTTGCCGTAGGACCCTCAAAGTCAGGGAGAAGCCTGTGGAAGTGTATGTTGCCAGATGCATCCACACCCCAGACATCTCTTATAGGCACAGAAGTTTGGGTATCTAACCAGATGACCAGTCTGGCTGGCCACAATCCACCCTGAGAAACCCTCCTGTGACAAATGACACTATGCCTGTCCTGTTTGGGGCTCTTTCTGTACCAGGTAAAGAGGTTTGCTATGAACGTCTTGGCTGCTTTTCCAATGAGAAGCCATGGGCAGGGATGATTCAGCGGCCTTTGAAGATATTGCCTTGGTCCCCAGAGGACATTGATACCCGCTTTCTTCTGTTCACGAATGAAAATCCAAACAACTACCAAGTAAGTGTGGGCATGGAATATCTGGGTTGGATGACAGAGTCAGTTTGGACCACATACCGGGGCCCTTGGGTATCTGGCTAGGGCATAATTAACACTTTGGAACTGTCCTCCTTATGTGGGAGCTCTTGGCTCTAAGGATCATAATCCCTGAGTATGTGAGAAAAAATCTAGAAGTACAAACTCTTACACATTAGTGCATAAAGTCTCCAGGTTCACCCTAGAAACCTATCCCAAGAAGAAACCCAACAGTGACATTTATGGAGAAGGTATAACCCAACAACATCCTCCATCGCCTTCTCAAAGGCAATGGAGCAGTAATGTATACAAAGCAAAAAGCCACAGGCAGGAAAGGAGAGAGTTCAATTAATCACAAAGGATTTGAGGTCCCTGGAGCAACTTTCAGGACAGGCCTGTCCCAGGTAATCAGGTGACCAGAGAGCTTTTCAGTGATGACTTGGTATGAGTTCAAGTAGCTCAAACACTGGTCCCTGGTATTTGGGTCTGCCTCTGGGTGCCTGGGGTCACCTGCTCTGGGACTTAGTTCCTCCAGCCTGGAAGCTGTGTAGACACGGTGGCCATTACTGCCTTACTGTCCTACCCTCCTGGCATTTGCTTGCAGAAGGGTCCTAGGCAAGGCTTTTGGGCACGTGGAAGTCGACTCTAAAGAATCTGTCTCCCCAGAGCCAGAGCTCAGGCTTATGGCTTCTGAGTGTTTTCTACCTTCCCCGTGCCGGGAATCTATTTAGCTACCAGAGGAAGAAGCCTAAAGGCCCTTCTCGGGATAATATTTCCAAATTGATAAAAATAAAATTAAATGGACTGCAAAGGAAATCAATTAGATTGAAAACAGTCATCAGAATATGAAAAAATTGAAAATATGAAGCATTGATTTAATTTACTATTTTATCATCCCAATAAAGATTGATTTAAAAACAATTTTAACTAAGCAGTAATGAGTATAAACGACACTCAGAGGCATTTACAACAGCTGCCTACCACGTGGCATGAAAACATCTGTGACTTTGACAACTGAGTCATGACTATTGCTAACTCCACTATAGTTTCCTGCCTGAATCACGCTTAACAGATACTAGATTTGGGCTCAAGGTTCAGGAAACAGGAAGTCAGTGAGCTTGTTCCTTCTAGATTCACAGGACTCGGTTTCATGGTTCTGGTCCTGGGGTCTCAACTCACTGTCCTGTCTGTCACCAGCCTGCAGGGCAGGGCCAGCATCCAAACTCATCTTGTCTAATTAAAAACCAGGTGATCTCTGCCACTGACCCGGACACCATCACGGCTTCCAACTTCCAACTGGACCGCAGGACGCGATTCATCATCCACGGCTTCATAGACAAGGGGGAGGACAGCTGGCTGCTGGACATGTGCAAGGTGGCAACCGGTCCCCCTCACCCAAACCCACCAGGGCAGGAAATGTTCCTGGAGGAGAAGGATTCTTCCTCAAAACCCATTAAGAAATGCCCGCTTCCCAGGCCTCCTTTTCCATGTTATCCCAAGGTTGCTAGCCAGCAAGACTCAGACGTGGGGACGCCATACACTGCCTGATATTTTGTCTCCGACTCGTGTGTAGCATTAAATGGAACAAACGCCATTGCCCTCTTAAGCTCCAGCAGCTCGCAGAGTGCCCTATGGCGACGGAGTTTGTTCTGTATGTGTGCTGGGGGCCACCGGGGTTTGGAGCCTGTGAAATATGCGAGTGTGCAAGGGGAACAACATGCATTGTGAGGGTGACAGCCTTTTTTCTCTGACCAGGTAGTTTCTTTGGGCCCGGCTGTGAGCCCTGTGAGACTAAGAAGTCTTCCGCTCAGGCCTCAGTTTCCATATCTGTTAAGTAAGATGAGCAAACCCAGGTCCCAGTGCTACCCTCGCAGTCAGCTGTGACAGGCAGGGAGGAAGCCGAGTTCTTTGCGGAGGTGGATTCCTGTCTCTGGGTTACCACCTGGCTTGTTTATGAACCTGGCTCTCTCTATTCTTTCCCCTAGAGAATGTTCCAGGTGGAGAGAGTGAACTGCATTTGCGTGGATTGGAGGCGTGGGGCCAAGACAGAATACACCCAAGCCGCCTACAACACCCGGGTTGTGGGTGCTGAGATTGCTTACTTAGTACAAGCACTGTCGGTAAGGGCCCCTGGGGCCAGGTCTGGGGCAGAGTTAGAGAGGGGCGGGGCTAAATCAAGGTGGGGCTAAGGGGGCGGGGCTAGAGAGGGGCCGGAGAAGGGCCACCTTGTACACAGAGGTTGCTGAGGATCTAGGGCAGGGCTGGGGTTGCAGGTCAAGCAAACCCAGTTCTCAAGCCCCTCCTGAGGTGAAGCAACGACCTTCCTCCCGCTGACTGTCCACAATGCCCTAGCTGTCGGCCTGGGAACCTCAGTTTCCCCATTTGACATAAGGCTGTCCTTGCAGGCTGCTCTGGGAACTGAGACGCCCCCAGCTCTCTCTGTGGAAAGCTTTGGGGCTTCATCCTCTACATGGGAAAGCCGAGGGGTGGGGACTTAGGCTTGGCTCCCTTTCTTCCCTACTGTAAGTTCCAGAAGGTCCAAGCTCCCCTCTCACTGCACCCAGGGAAGAGGCCTCCATGGCGACACCAGGTGGCGGCACCAGCCAGAGAGGTGGCCTGCAGTTAGTGCGGTGGCCACTGGCCAGCACTGTTGCTGCATGCAAGAGCATGGAGCCTTCCCCAAGGGCACCGCAACCTGCAGTATGGCCTGGCCAAGCAGTCCAGGGCCAGCGGAGGGCTCATTCCCCTCAAGAGCCCAGTCCTTTGGCAAAGGCCAGCCTCTGCTCCCCCTCGTTCCCACGTGGATCTCAGGGACCTAAGGCTTCTTCTTTCCACAGACAGAGCTAGCGTACAGCCCAGAGAACGTGCACCTCATCGGCCACAGTCTGGGAGCACACGTGGCCGGGGAAGCAGGCCGGAGGCTGGAGGGCCACCTGGGCAGGATCACAGGTAGGAGTCCTGAGAGCCAGTCTTGGGTCCAGGGAAGTGAGCAGGGCGAGCCTCCGCCAGCGCATGTCCCACATCCTTCTACTTTCCTGATTTTAGGTGATACCCTAACTCAAAAAGAATTGTCCTTCTTCTTAATGCCTAGTAGAAAAATCTACAGTCATAGATTAAAAACATATGTTTGTAAAACAACAAAAATATAACCAGGTTCAGGTTCATGAAACCTAACTTCGGGGACATTACTGCTGCAGCATGGCCAAGTGATCTTTGTGTGTGTGTGTGTGTGTGTGTGTGTGTGTGTGTGTGTGTGTGTGTGTGTGTTTGTGTGTGTGTGCCATGTGATATGATTTTTTTTAATGTTATCAGTTCCACTTACTCCTTGAAGGTTTTGTTCTCAGTCAGGTGCAGCCAGTAAGAGACTTGTCACTTAGGAAATGCTGGTTGACTGAAGGAAATATTAGTCAGATTCCTTCTGTGCTGTGAAACTTGCCCGGCTCAGGGCACTGGATTGACGGATAGGGAGAGTATTTTACAATCCCGTAGACATCTTCAGTTTGCAGGGCCCTGCCTGTTACATCTTTCCATGGGATTTTCATAATAAACCTGAAAGAGGGGTGGCCTATTCTCACTCTCTGGATGGGTGCAGACACTTGAATAGACATTGTACCTTTTAATCTCGACCTCTCTCTCTGAAAATGGTGGGCACAGCCCGTGCTTCAGGAAACCCACAGACCCATCGAGAATGTAGGGAACTAAGTAGACAATAAAGTAAATAAATTCACCTCAGCCTGGGGTTTGACACTTGGAGCTTGTCTTCCGTGGGGTAAGATCATTCTACCTCCTTCAGGGCTGGACCCCGCAGAGCCCTGTTTCCAAGGCCTGCCCGAGGAAGTTCGACTGGACCCGTCAGACGCCATGTTTGTAGACGCTATTCACACAGACAGTGCCGCCATTGTTCCCTACCTAGGTGAGTCCTCCCCCTCCCCCAACTCCTCGTGACCAGTGGTGACTGACGGATGGCATGTGTCCTGGTGATACCCTCCTCCCTCCTGACACACAACAGCTGCAGAGGGAACATTCAACATGGTTAACTGAGGTCCCAATCAGTAGCAAGGATACCAGACCGGCCACAATGATTACCCAGGACAATGCTGTTGCCATGGGGCCTGTGACCCCAGGCTGAACCAAAAACTCTTCTAGAGCCCAGGGAGGCGATGGCTCATCCATCCTGGAATCTCTATCTAAATCCAAAGGAATACATGTTTTCACTTGACCTGACTGAAAAGTATCGTGGTAAATAAGGATCAGGATAAACAAATAGGCCGAATAGATGTTTATTCAGGGAGAAATAACTTACAACCTAGACAGATGAACACCAGGAAATTCAACCCGATCCTCTCCTGTCCAAGTCACGTCAGAAAGAGAGCGCCTTTCCTGGCCCCCTCCGACCTCCTTCCACAGGTCACTCCGCCCATGGCTCCACCCCCCAATGGGCGTGGTCAGTGCCACAGAACTATCTCACTACAGAAAAGTTTTTAGATTATTTTTTTTATTTAGAAAAAGTAAGTTGCCAAAACTTCAGCTACAGTTTGTGCTGTTGCAACTACAATCCTTTTGTTCAGTTGTTCTAAAATCAGCGTTCTGTTTTTTTTTTTTCAGTACTTTGCATCAGGTAACCACTCAAGGAGCCTGCCCATGCAGGGTGTGTTTTAACAATAATGACAACGGTGATGACAGACATAGCATTTAGTCAATGCTTGAGGTGTGCCGCATGGCACGTAATAGTTTATTACGTATGAAACACCCTAACAGGTAAATTGCCACCACCTCGCAGCTGGGAAGATTTACTGAGGCTGAATTAATTCAGCAAGACCATGAGGCGAGGCTGGTCAGAGGAACCAGAGTTTGATCGCAGGTCTGTGCACCTCAAAATCAAAAGCTGCTGCCCAAAGAACCTCTGTGGCGGCCTCCCTACAGTAACACAGTCTGGAGGACTGGAGAGGTAGTTCAGTTCTAGAGACTCTCTGTCACATGCTCAGCGTATCACAGATTTTGGAAACTACAGTGGGGGGTGGGCTTGCTTGGTAGCCAAAAGCAAACACTGCACGGGCAGAAGACCTGATTCTGATTCCGGTGCCCGTGCTGGATAGCTCCCAATGGTCTACAACTCTACCTTTAGGAAGTAGCTGCCCCTGGCTTCTGAGGGCACCTGCATTGGGAGATATGCTCACACTCAAGACACTCAACACACACATAATTAGCAAAGATTTAAATGAGTAATGTAATACACATGCTACCAGATTCACGCCAACTGGTTCCTTGTGGCCTTGGGCTTACCAAAACTGTCCAGGGCCTCTCCAAGGGAGGCAGATAGAGGCACATATACCAATAGATTCATGCACACTCACCATGGCTCTTCCTCTCTTCACCTGGCCTCCCGTGTTGGTCCTGCCCCCTTTCCCTTCCAAACGCCCACCTGAGCTCTCTCTCACAAAGAGAGTTGATGTGGCAAAGGAGAACCCTGCCAAGGCGCGCGCTCCGGTTTGAGTGCGCTGAGCACCTCACTGAGGCCTCTTGTGACTTTGGGATCCTTCTTGATTCTGCTTCCAATGTTGCAGGTTTTGGGATGAGCCAAAAGGTCGGCCATCTGGATTTCTTCCCAAACGGGGGAAAGCAAATGCCCGGATGCCAGAAAAACATCCTCTCCACCATCGTGGACATAAACGGAATATGGGAAGGTAGGCTTCCTGGGAGAAGTGAGCCATAAAGCAGAATGTATGCGTGTGACCACCACAGCAGTCATTCTTGATGCCAGTCTTCATGGTTTTGCTCTGAGCCAGGCGCTGGCCACACTGCGAGATATTTGACCTTACTTCATACATGCAGGCACAGGATGCCAGGACAGCTACATATCTTGTTCAAGGGTACCCTACATTTAATCCGGGCTTCTTGCTGGAAGCCTCTGAGCCCATTTCTCAGTTGTCAGAAACCAGGGTAAGACAGTCAAGGTAGCAAACACCCAGCTCTGGCTCTGCCCCGACCCTCATCACGTTCTTAGCTCCTGCTCCTTGAAGAACTGAAGATCCATCACAGTACGTGGAGGTTCTACCCTTCTTGTTATTGGCTGCGTCAGGCAGGAGACTGAGGTAGCTGGCTAGAAGAAGATGCGCTCTGAGGGTTTGCGGCACTCATGGGCAGGGAGGCCTATACTGTGAGTAACAGCACAGCTTCCTGAAGCCTGCGTGTCATTGTGCTCATCTAGAGGGCAGGGCTTACACCCTTGACATTAGGTGACTGACGTGACTGCCACTTGCTCTCTGTCTCCCACATGACACCAGGCTTCCCTGTCCTCTCCTCCAAAAGCTGGAGGTTAGAATCAGTAATCCCTTCATTTGTCATTGTATTTTTTGAACTGGAAGCTCCGTGTGGCTGGGTCTTAGCCAACCCCTGCCCTGTCACCTAAGTACCTGAAGCACATGTTATTGAGTGGTTTCTTGTGGCCTTTATATCTCCCGTGTGCTAAATGTCTGCCAAGTAGTATGGATAAAGGGATACCCAGCACCCAGAGACAAGTAAACAGCTCTGACCTCTTGGCCCCTTACCTAGTAACGCATTGGGGGACTCAATACCCCCCCTAAAAAAGCCTGAATCGTGATAACAGCTGCCCCCTCCTAAAAGTGACGAGCAGGGCACGCACAATAGCAGAGAGCCCAGGTTTAATTAAAGAGGCAATTTAGAGTGAACCAGCCCATGAGCACTGGAGTGTGTTTCTATTGTACGCCACACAAGTCATGCAGGCCCTGGGCACAGGGAACAATTGAGCACACTCTCTCCTCTATTATGGGATCCCTGAGCAGCAATTTTGGATGAAAGAAACAATTAAGCTTAAAGCAGGTTCTGCTGTCTGCAGAGGGGCGTGAGAGTGAGCACTCGGAGCTAGATGGTGGGTGGTGAGCTCAGCAGGGGACTAGGAGCTGAGCCAGCAAAGCTACCCCACCCACAAAGGGGACAGGTCCTTTCTTGATGAGTGACTCCCATGAATGGTCCTATTCGATTCCTCCATGGGATCACCTAAGCTTGGCCCGGCATTAGAGCTACTCAGCGTTAATGCAGCCTTAACAATAACACCAGAGAACAACTGGCCCCCAGGAAAGGCTGTTTCTGGGAATACTGACAAGAAATCAGCCCATGTGTGGTACAAACAAACACAACTGCCGCAGACCTAACAACACCGTCCAGTCATGGTTGGCTGAACCCAAGGCTGTAGAATCCCCAGATAATGAGGACCACCTGTTGACTATCTCTGCCCGTCTTCTCTCTACCTGCATGCCTATATGTGTGCTCTGGTTTTAAAAGTCTTCAAAAGCTTCTTAAAATCAGCTGTCCTATTCTCTCTTCCCATGTATATGCAGTCTTTCTGCCTGTCTGCCTGTCTGTCTGTCTCTCTCCTCTCTCTCTCTCCCCTCTTCCCCCCTCTCTCTCTGCCCCTTGGCTCTGCCCTCCTTCGGTCCTTTCGAATATTCAACAGGCATACTTCTAGAGCTTGCCACTCCTCAGCAGTTGCCTGGCCCCAAGTCCTGAGGAACAGAGGCTGCTCCTTGCTCACTCAGAATGGTTGCCCTTCTGAAGGCGAAGCTCCTTCTCTCACACTCCTGTGGCCTTGGTTTTCTCAGGGACTCAAAACTTTGCAGCTTGCAACCACCTCCGGAGCTACAAGTACTATGCCAGCAGCATCCTCAACCCCGACGGCTTCCTGGGGTATCCCTGCACCTCCTATGAGGAGTTCCAGCAGGTAGGTCCATCCAGGGCCCCAGAGAGAACAGCCTGGTGGCTCTGCTAGTTTTGTTTGTCTCTGTGACACTTAGCATAATAAAAAGATGCCATCGACTCTATGGACATGACCCCGGGGTGGGGGAAATGAAGAGATTTCCAGAGCCCCTTCCTCCAGCATTGGACTAGAGGGGAGACCACATTGCTGGCCACACTGGACATCCCCAGGGTCCCCAGCTTTTAATTATTTTTTATTGTTCAGTGTGTTTATTTGCCTGTATTTACTGTACAAAGAAGCACCAAAAATGAAACATCAAGCAAATGCATCACTATCCATTAATAAGAATAGTTAGTTAGAAGAAAAATGGGAAATTCATTATATGTGAAGACTTACCTTAGAGGCACAATTATTTTATTTATTCATTTATTATTTTATTTTTTTAGCAGAAACAGAGTAAAAAGGAGGTATTTTTGTCGACAAAGTAAATAGGAGGTTTTGCTATGTCTCTCTGTGATCAATAATTTGAGGTTGTCCTCACTGAAAAGATGGAGCTTGCCCTTAGAACTCCCAGCTTTTAATTTAGGGCAACTCCCGGTCTACAAGCAGGTTGAAAGAGGCGCACGAACGTGTCTATTACACCTGTCACTTACACACACCAATCGCTAATGTTCCACACACAAGCAGAGCGTGCATGTTGCTTTGTAGCTCAAGTATGTGAAAGTGAATCAGAGGTCCTTCTGTATTCATCTCCAAGAATAAGACACACCCTCCTATAAAGGGCACTTCAGAAAGTCATCTCCCACACACTAACATCCTAAATGCATGGGCCGCGGTCAAGACTCCATTTACTGCGCTGACTTGACGCTGTCCTTCCTTTGTTCTTTGTCCTTCCTCCCCTTCTTCCCTCCCTCCCCGTCTCCCCTCCCCATCTCCCCTCCCCATCTCCCCTCTCCAGCTCCCCTCCCTCCCCATCTCTCCTCCCTCCCTCCCTCTCCATCTCCCCTCCCCATCTCCCCTCCCCACCTCCCCTCTCCATTTCCCCTCCCCACCTCCCCTCCCTATCTCTCCTCCCTCCCTCTCTCCATCTTCCCCCCCCCACCCCTTTTTTTCTGCATTGCGTTTATCGTCAAGCCTCTTCCCTCCCAGATCATGAGCAGTTCAACACTTTCTTAGCCTTCCAGGACACAGATCATCGTCCTGAGGGTCCCAGACAGTTTGGTAGAATGCCCCACGCTCTGAAACGTTTTGTTTATTTCTGATTTTGTGGTCAACGTAGGGCTCTTCTCAGTGGGTCACAGCCCAGGAACATTCATTTGCTAGCGCTTTCTCTAGTATTTGATAGCTGAATCTGATTACTCAGTAAGGTCATGTGTGCTAGACCTCTGTTATAAAAAATGCTAGCTAGTTCCAAATAACCTTTAAGGGGACTCTGTTTTCAGCAATAAACTCAGCCAAAAACAAAACAAGCAAACAAACAAAACAAAGTTTTTGTTGATGCTCTCCACCTAAATCACTTCTCATATCAAAAGTTGCAAAACTCTCAGGTTTCTAAAATATCTTCATCAAGTAAAAATATATTTAAATTATATTTTGTCAAAACTAACTTCGCCCCTGACATCGTGAGATGTATCAGGGTTAAAAGAACCTCATATGGGATCATCATGGCCCGTGATTATCCTTGCCTGCACTGGAGACTGCAGGGGAATGGGCAGTCACACGGCCTCCAGCATCTGTCTGGCTCTTTGCAAATCTCAAACCACATATTTGGGATAAGGAATAAGGTCAGAGAACAAAGAAAGCGTGTGTCCGATTAGAAAGCCCAGTGAATGAGAGCACCGTCTAAGGAGTACTGGCAGGATCAACCAAGTTAGTCAAATCCTTCGTAGTCAAGGGCAAGTGATTAAGGATGCTTGTTTTTCTCTCATTCTTGTTTTGTTTTGTGTTTTTGAGACAGGGTCTCTCTATTTGCTCTGGCTGTCCTGGAACTCAATATATAGACCAGGCTGGCCTCAAGCTCAGAGATCTTCCTGCCTCTTGCCTCTATAGTGCTGGGATTAAAGGCATGCACCACCATGCCTGACCCAGATCCTCATTTATTGTCTTCCTAATTGACTTTTCCCTAGAGTCATTATCTCACAGTCCTCCTTCCGATTTATTTTACTTTTTCCTATAGGAGTTGTCTCCCAACTGTAAGTTTTTGAGGTACATCTTTGGGAGTTCTGCATGGTCAAGAATGATCATATGTACAATTCTGAGAATGAATGAATGGATCCATGAACGAATGAATGAATGAATGGTCCAGGGATGTATAAGTAAACAAGTGCATGTATGTTTGAGATAGTAGGATGAGTGAGTAACCAAGAAGATGAATGAAAGGTGGGTAAGTAAAAGGATGGGTAGAAATAAAAACGAAAATAGACAGTAGATAAAAGGTAAATCAATAAATCAGTAGATAAATGGTAGGAGGGAAGGAAAGAAGGAACAAAGGAAGTGGTCTGGGGCAAGATCTCCTACTAACAAATGACCTCTCCCCCTAGAATGGCTGCTTCCCTTGTCCAGAAGAAGGGTGTCCCAAGATGGGACACTACGCTGATCAGTTTGCGGGGAGAACCATTGCTGTGGAACAAACCTTTTTCCTGAACACAGGAGATAGTGGTAACTTTACTCGTAAGTTCCTGCTTCCCTTAAAAATCTTTTAAAATTAATTTTAAAAGCACATGAGCTCTGTTAGTGAAGTCCCTTGACATTAAATGACTACAACTTCAACTGCCACCAGCCCATTAGTAAGGGTGGCAGAACAACACACGCCTTGGGGCTCATGTTCACCCCCATTAACCAGTAACTCCTAGGAAAACCAGAGATCAGTGAGCGGCTGAGTCCCATGTCCATCTACTCATGACAGAGAAGATACATGTATTGAGAGCAGCTGAGGCCGTGTGACTGTGATCCACAGAGATGACTACCCTCTGACATCTATCACACACTCTCACACGCAATGCACACAAACACCACGCATGCGCAAGCACACTCTGCTCCATTGTCACAGGTTCCATTGTGCTCAAGTTCTCATCAGAAAACACGGGACGGTAAACATTAATTTGTCATAAATATAATCAAACTAATTGAAAAGCCTTTTTCTGCGGCAGCTTTAAATTTCAATGATATGTACTTTACACTTACATTGTTCTGTGCAATCCTACCTTTATCATAAAAAAGAATAACTCATTAATCATATAGTATACAATTACATTATTTCATGCAATCCTACCTTTATCATAAAAAAGAATAACTCATTAGTATCTATAAAGCATGCATATCCCCTCAACACAGTCACTCACTCTGCTTCTCAGAACATTCCACAGAATCACAGATGTGCCCAAAGATTCTCGCTCATAAGGTTGCTTGGAAGCAAAAGATTGAGTAGAAAATCTGCCATCCAATTGGGTAAGAAGGAAATGATCATATACCGTGAGTAACAAAGCCACCTGCAGCCAAGCCTGAGTCAGTGCCGGCAGTTACAGCAGCACTCTGTAGACGAAGAAGCGCTAAAAACACATCTGTCCCCCAAGGTCCTGGAGGCTGGACCTGACTTCAGCACAGCCGCAGGGCCAGGTTCTACACACAAGCTCCTGCTGTGTCCTGCCTCTTAGTGCAGAAAGGGCTGCAGAGCCCCGTGGGGACCCTTCAGTAATTTCATCCATAAGGGTTCTGCCCTCAGGACTTACCTTTCAAAGGTTCCCCTCCCCTACCCCTAACACTCAGCAGTCCCAGTTAGGGTTACTGTTGCTTTGATGAAACACATTTGGGTTGAAAAGGGATTACTTGGCTTATACTTCCAGGTAACACTCTGTCACTGAGGGAGGTCAGGAGGGAAACTCAAACAGGGCAGGATCCTGGAGGCAGGAGCTGATGCAGACAGAGGCCATGGAGGGATGCTGCTTACTAGCTTGCTCCCTGAGGCTTGCTTTCTTATAGAACCCAGGACCGGCAGCCCAAGGATGACACCACCCTCAATGAGATGGCCCTCCCTCATCGACACTAATTAAGAAAATGCTTTACAGGAGGGTCTTATGGAGGCATCTTCTCAGTTGAGGTTTCCTATTTTTCCCCCTTCAGGTAACTCTAGTTTGTGTCAAGCTGACATAAAAACCAGTCAGCTCTATTGACCTCTTGTCAGCTTGACACACGAATATCATACTGCAACCTTTCCTTTCTTGTTCTTTGCCAAGATCACGCATTAGTATCAACGTCACCTCGTAAACATTCCAAACTGTAAAAGTCCCACGATCTTTACAAAGTAAAACACTTAAAAAACATTCAGTCTCTTTAAAACAGTCTTTTAAGAGTGTAAAGTCTTTTTAAATTAAATTAAAAGTCTCTCGACCGTGGGCCCCTCTGTAAAATCAAAACCAAATACTTTCTTACTTAGCGAGGGAAGACCCAGGCCACAATCACAATCTAAACAGAGCAAAACCAAACCCCAACAGTGTAAAACCTCAGTGTGTTCAATTACCTGTGATTCACTCACCATTTTCTGGGCTCTTCCAAGGGACTTGGGTCCCTCCTCTGCTGCACGCATAGCTCGCTTGTCTTCTCCGCTCCGTCTGATTTCATATCACAGTTGCTGCTGCTCTTAACAGTCATTCCGTGGGCCTGGCATCTCCGAAATGCCGGGGTCTCCTGCTGCAACTGGGCCGCATTTTCACCAGAAGCCTCTCATACACTCTCTCCTCGGTGCCAAGCTTCAATCTTCCTCTGCTATTCCAGCTGCACCCCACCAGTGGCTTCTCCTGGCCTCTCACGGTGCCACGCCTCTGCGGCTCTCCATACCTTCAAAACCAGCATCACCTGGAAGACTCTCCCACTACCAAGTTCCTCTGCCAGCCCAAGGTACAACCCCGGCCACCTCTGAGCACAGCTCAGGACTCCCAGGAGGTTTCACATTGATGATGCTGCTCTCTTCTGTCATCACCGAATGCCTGAGCTCCAGCGAGGCAGCATCGGCTCTCCTGGTTAAAAAAAAAAAAACAAAACAAAACAAAGGTTTTGCTACAGTGATTCTAGACTCTTGATAATCACAGCTGCTTCTTCAACCCAGCTGACCAGAACCACATGGCCCCGATAGAGTCATTAAGGGACTCTCAAACTTCCCTCTGGAACTTCACAAGCCTGGCCCCTATCCTCTGCAGGGCTCTCAATGTTCTCATCTTCAAAGCTGCCACAGAACCGCCCCCTGCGCTCTCAATATTCAATGGCTCTTCTAGCCCAAAGTTCCAAAGTCCTCCCACAATCATCCCAGACACACGGTCGGACCCGGGTACCAATTTCTGTCCTAGTTAGGGTTTCCGTTGCAGTGACGAAACCATAACCAAAAGCAAGTTGGGGAGGGACAGGTTGGTTTACCTCACACTTCCATATTGTAGCCCATCACTGAAGGGAGCCAGGACAAGAACTCAAACAGAGCAGGAACCTGGAGGCAGGAGCCGATGTGGAAGCCGTAGAGGGGAGCTGCTTACTGTCTTGTTCATCATGGCTTGCTGAGCCTGCTTTCTTACAGAACCGAGGACCATCATCCCAGGGATCCCAGGGATGACCTCACCCACCATGGGCTGGGCCCTCCCCCATCACTAGTTAAGAAAATGCTCTACCGGCTTGCCTCCAGCCCAATCTTAATGGCTGCATTTTCTCAATTGAGGTTTCCTCCTTTAAGATAACATTCAGCTGTGTTATGTTGGCACAGAACTATTCATCACCAACGGGACTTTAACATACAAATTGAGATGGAGGAGGGAGACACTCCTGTATCCACCAGGGGCATGTGTAGCAACGGAAAGTAAGATCCTGGGACACAATATAGGCTGATTGATGTTTATTTGGGGAGAAATCACTTACACCAGAGACAGATGACCGCCTCGGGTTCCCGTTCCAAGGATGCCCCTGGATGATCTCTGTGTCCAACCAGGAAGTAAGAGAGCGAGTTGGGGTCCAGGACCCCAGACCTAGACCCCACAGGTCATGCCCACACTTGTCCCCACACCCACAATGGGCGTGGTTAGTGCAACAGGTGCGGGCAGAGTAGATATCACACCACAGGACTGTCCTTCATCTGTCAGGGCAGACCCTGTGTTACGCTCAGCTGTTGTGCTTTCCAACCCCTTGGTCTCCTCACCTTGCCCAGGATGTGAAGTCATGTGTCAGCTCCATGGAAGAACACGGTCACATCCACGTCACCTCTCACCCGAGGAGAAGTCGATCTTACAAACATAACACTTCCAGTTGGGTCATTTTTTTTTTTTCCAACAAGATAAGTTTGTTAAGATGATATTCTACTTCTTGGCACAGGTTGGAGATACAAGGTGTCAGTCACACTGTCTGGAGCAAAGAAACTGAAGGGGTACATCTTGGTTGCTCTGTATGGAAGTAACGGGAACTCTAAACAGTATGAAATTTTCAAGTAAGTTCTGCAGCAAACCCAACGGCTAAGGTTTCCGTGAGAGGTGACTCATACAGGCTTGGCTGCCCATCTTTTTACAGATTCAGGTCTTTACACAGCAGAACCTGAGTCCCAGACCATCCCAGCTGGGAGGAAATTGCCATGTCTAATTCAATCACCCCATTTTATATATGAGAAGAGGAGGCCCTGAGAGAGAGAGCCTATTTAACACGGATTGCATGCTGGCTGCTCTTGTTAATCACAGGACTATTGTGTGTGTGTGTGTGTGCTGATTGCTTTTGTTAATCACAGGACTATAGTGTGTGTGTGTGTGTGTGTGTGTGTGTGTGTGTGTGTGTGTGTAACCTAATACCCAGAGTTGAACCCTAGGGCCTCCTGCAGGGTGGTCAAATACTTCACTACTGAGCTGTGTCTCCAGCCTCTTTGTAGTGTTTCTGTTTAACTTCATTTGTTTGTCTTGAGACAGGGTCTCACTAAGTTGCACAGGTTGGCCTTGAACTTGGAATACTCCTACCTCAGCCTTATACATAGCTAGATTAACAGGCCTGCAGCACCAGGCCTGGCGTGGTCTTCATTTTTCCTTTGAGCAAAGGTTCATCTATATGACAATGCCCCTGCCTCACTCCCCCCCACCACACCACACCGCAATACACACACCTGGAGCCCATGGCTTATCCCTACCATGGTCTCACCCCATAGCTTATGCTATGTAGGAAGAAGAGTTTGGTAGTTATGTGTTGAGCGAATATATAACTTAGATGGTAAGAATTAGATCCTGGTTTGCACTAACTTTAATGGTTCCGCCTGTGAGTTTAATTTATTTGACAACTTCTGGAGTTACTTATGTGACATTCACAAATTGTGTTTAGTAAACTGCATGCGTCTTTCAACCAAAGACTCTGCATCAATTTTTCCTGCAGCAAATTGTAGAGTTCCCAGCTACCCCAAATATTTCACTCCTCTTTGGGACAAACAAAGACAATGGACATCTGAAGACTGACTTTTTTTAAAAGATGTGTTCTTCAGAAATGCATTTGCTTGTGAAGACCCTGGGTATATTGGCAGAATCTTCTGGGTTGTTTGCAGAAACCCACTCTATTTAGAAACAATAGGTGAATACCATCCTGTGGAGTCATGTACATAGCTGACATGATATTTCTGTGTAACCAGAGGATCCCTCAAGCCAGAAGCGATGCACATTCGAGACATTGATGTGGACATCGATGTCGGAGAAATCCAGAAGGTTAAGTTCCTGTGGAACAACAAAGTGATAAATCTCTTCCAGCCAGAGATGGGGGCATCACAAATCACAGTTCAAAGCGGTAAAGATGGGAAAGAGTACGTATCCGATACTCCTGTCTGGTTGTGTTTGTGCACCTACCTTATGCATCCACCCATCCTTCCAACCACTCACCTACCCATCCATCCAAGCCTCTTTCCTTTTCACATACTCGTCCATAACCAAGTCAAGTTTCCTATCTTCCACACCATCCAGACATGTTTTCATCTTTCCATTCACTTATTACCCTGCTTTTTACCCCACCTGGCCACTTGGCCATCTGACTTACTGTGTACACCTGACTATCATTTCCCTTACATAACAACATGAAAAGGGCAACGCATCAGTTGTGAGATACAAGAAATAAGCAAATAGGGGATACATCTACTTTCCAATGGCAAATTTATCTAGGAAAAACATGGTGGAATTGGTTTCAGTTAGTATGCAGTTTTTTAGTATAAACTGGTTTTTTGAGACAATTCTTAGGGAAGAGAATCTTTAGTAGGTGTTTGTGATAGAACCTATTGCTGTAGCTTCCATTCTGTTGCTATGATAAAACACTCTACCCAAAAGCAGCTAAGTGGTGTGGGGAGTACTGTAGCTTATATCTCCAGGCCACAGCCTATCACTGAAGGGAATGCAGGCTGAACTCAAGGCCGGACTTGAAGGCAGGCCCTCTTGCTAGCCCAGACAGCATTCTCTGGCTAAGGAAATCACTCCATAGCCAGATGGAGACTCTTGCTTGCCAGGGGGCTCAAAGGTCAGCTTACACTCGGCTAGCTTTCTTCAACAGCTCAGCACCTCCTGCCTAGGGATGCCTACATGGGGTGGGACCTCCTAAACCAATTAAAAGTCAAGGCAGTGCTCCACAGTTGCCCACAAGCCAACCTGGTCTAAATGATTCCTCTATTGGCATTCTCTGAGAGGACTCTAGGGTGTGTCAAGTTGACAATTGAAGACTAACAGGACACCAAATAACTTCAGTATACAGAAAGAGAAAAGGACAGCTCGAAAGACAGTAATCAGAAGAATAATGAGATATTATAGCCCGAAGAAAACATAGACCTCAAAGGGTCAGCCATGAGGCCACCGATGGCTTCCGATGGAAGCAACAGGGCAACCTGAGTTGCACACTTCGGTTTGACGAAGCTGATGCACTTTTGTTATTTGATCAACCCTCAAGGAGAAGAACAGGTTGATTCTAGTTAAAGTCAGTTGGGTCCCTGCCTAGAGTCTTTCAGTTTGAGGAAACAGACCTGGGAGCTGGATCGCTATTGTCTGATAGTGTCACTGAAGCCACGAACCCGCTGACAAACCAGCCTGCTGCTTTCCCCACAGGTACAACTTCTGTAGCAGCAACACTGTGCGTGAAGACGTCTTACAGTCCCTTTATCCGTGCTAAAGGTGTGCCTGGGTGCCTGTCTCTTTCCATAATAAATGATTTTAATGCACTTGGTCTGAGCTTGAGCTGTAGCATGACATTCTCTGTGTACTGGGAGGTGACGAATGGGACAAAGACAAGGTCATCACAGATAATAATACCCGGGAATTCACACACTCACACTCACACACACACGCACTATACACACACACATTACACACATGCACGCATACTCACACACAGTACACACACAACTACACACACGCACATGCACACTCACACACACACTACACACATGCACATTCACACACACTACACATGCACACTCACACACACAGGCACACTCACACACACACACACTCACACACACACTACACACACACGCACACACTCTCTCCTGTCACATCTCTTGCTTTCAGGCCATTTTGTGTATCTTGTGCTCCTATAACGCCAAACTTTTGTTTTGGGCATAAAATCAACCTGTGGCATGAAAGAGAAAGAACTCTAAAACGGCAAGTTAATACCTGTACTTGGTACAAACTGCAAGTGACACAGATCACTCCTACATCTTCAGGTGTCTCCGATTTTCTTCCCAGGGACAACATGAGTGTATCCCCTAGCAATAGTCTACATATGTGTATGTTCGTGTCCACCTCAAGCCCTACCCTTCTGTCCAAGCACAAACAGAAGAATACGGTGTGTGCTGCTATCGACTTGTGTTTTTAATTCCCCATAAATTGGGAATTATTATCTCATGGTACAGAAAAGGGCTCTTGTTCATTAAGAAGCTTTGTGAACTAACTCCAAAGGTAGGCATGCAAGCGTGAATGGTTGGCTGGTCCTACCGCCGGAGAAGATGGGCTCTTTCCCATCACAGGTACTCACACAATTAATTTCCTTTTGTGACATTGGTCTGCCGGGTGAACTTGATGGGCCATAGTGTGGTGTCACGGCAGCAGAGACCGATGCTTGACATGAGGAGCTCACTGTGGGACTGAAGTGCTTCAGATCCGTACCTCTGGGTTCTCAGCCCATTCTCCTCTTCCTCCTTTTTATTAGTTTCCTCCCGTTCCTTTTCCTTGAAACCCCATGTTTCCTTTAAAAACCTTAGTTTGGTACAATGAAATGGGCCATTACCTGAGCCCTACTATGTGTTCTGGATAAAGCCACAGAACACAGAGCTTCTGCTCTTGGTCTTGACTGTGTTACAGTACTATGGAGCATTTCATGTCCTGGCTGTTCCCGACCTAGCCCAGCCACCACCTCCATGGGGGACACCTGTACTTTTTAAGCTCCTAGGAAATGTACAGCCAAGGTGAAAAGCACTGAGTACCCTTCCTTATGGGTTTCAAACACACACACACACACACCCTATATTATTTCTTTAGGTTATACGTGCATCTGTGTGTGTGTGTGTGTGTGTGTGTGTGTGTGTGTGTGTGTGTGTGCATATGCATGTTCTAGACTTACAGGTGGTTATGAGCTGCCCCGTATGGCTGATGGGAACCAGATCCAGGTCCTCTCCGATTGCAGTGCATGCTCTCAACCATGGAGCCATCTCTCTAACCCCTACAGATGTCAACAGTAGGAATACAGCTGTGCTGAGCTGGCTCTGTGTCACAACTATGTGACTTCTCCATGCTCAACAACAACCTTGCACACAGGGCAGCGATTAGGATTAAATCAATACCACATGCATGAAAACCAAGTACCACAGAGCCTGACACATACCTAGCAGCTGCTCCACGAGGCAAAGCGTACTGGCTAAGATGAGTTTGATGTGGAACTTCCCTCTATATGCTGCGAATATGTTTTATTACCATTGGTTAATAAAGAAGCTGATTTGGCCAATAGCCAGGCAGAATAGAGCCAGGTGAAAAATCCAAGCAGAGATACAGGGAGAAGATGGCCAATGGGGGATGCCCTTCTGTATATGTGTTTCTCTTATTGGTTGATGAATAAAACACTGATTGTCCAGTGGAGGCAGAAAGATAGGCGGGACTAGGAGACGAGGAGACTTCTGGGGAGAGGCAGAGAGGCGCCTCAAGGAGGCGCCATGTAGAGACTTGGAAGACAGGACTTGCCAGGCTTTCTCTGGTAAGATAAGGTCATATAGATATAGATTAGTCATTATGGGTTAATACTTAAGAGAGTGATAGCCAATAAGAGGCCCTAGCCATTGGCTGAGAGCTTAATAATTAATAGAGCATCACTGTGTGTTTATTTGGGGCAAAGTGCTATAGGACCAGGCTGGAAATAAAACTCAAGCTACAGAAGGGTGGAGTCAGGGAGGCACCAGCGGCCCCATGGGAAGCAAGAGGTGAGGTAACAAGCCATGAGCTAAGGGCTAAGAGAAATGGGTTAGTTTGGCTGTAAGAGCTAGTTAATAAGCCTGAGCTAATAGCCAAACAGACTGTACTTAATGTTAAGCCTCTGAGTGATTATTTTATAAGCAGCTATGGGGCTGGGAGGAACCCCTAAGACCTCTCCCTCCTACACGAGTTTTATTACGTAGTGAAAAGCAGACAACAAAGACCTAGGCTCAGAGAAGGCGTCTCAGGCAGGCAGAGCCAAGGCCAAGTATTTAGATACCATAAACAGGCGGACCGTACCATGGGGAGATGGACAGAGGACATGAGCAGGTAGCCCACAGAGAGGCTGCTGTGGTGTCCCCATCAAAACAAACAGTAACAATAGCCCGAAGCTGAACAGTAACAAAGAAGGTCCTGTCTATGTCATCTGTCTCAAAATTCTGGTGGCTGCAAGGTCTAAATGGCAAGGTCTATGTCACAACATGGCGGACAAGCGGGCATGTGCAGAAACGAAAGGGAGTCGCAAAGTCAAACCGACTTTACAGCAACCCATCCTCCTGAGAAATAACCCGTCCCTGAGTCCTGACTCACACCCTTGCGAGGACACCGGTCCCTTCCAACAGAGCTGCCCTCCGTGATCCTGAAACGCCTCACCTTGTGAAGACCCACAACATCTCAAGGCGACCATTGTGTGACCCTTGTGGGGACAACCACACCCAAGGCACATCGAGAACGAAAGTACTGATGCTGGCGGCCCGCCTCACTGGAGGAACTGGGAATGCCAGAGACGAAAATGACAATTCACTCGCCAGACTGAAATACAGACTGCGGTTCCCTCGGTACCAAAGTAGAGGCCCCCACATCCTGGGGAGAAGGCAAGCAGCGCCGAGAAACCACCAACTTGGATTTTTGTATATTTCACTCTTCACAAAATATCACTACCCACCACCCCATGCCATCTGAAATACCACGACGGCCAAGGAAGCCGCTTAGAACCCTGCCCAGAGACCAGCAATATCGTATCTATTTCCGTGGCAAAAGTTAGTTGAGATAAATGTGATGTCAAGGTTCATTTTCTGATCACTGCATGGGGTTGTCACTAAGGTTCCTGTGTAGTCTGACTTTTTAAAAGTCCAAATCTAAGGGGGAAAGATGGGGACTGACTGATGGAGTTGCAGGAGCCCAGTAGACTAAGTTTGATACTATTATTTGTAGTTCAGCAACTATGGAAGGTAAGAAGCAACCAAATGGCCTTCAATGCCCACCTCCCCCAGGAGGAACCTGTCTCTGTTTGAATTAGGTTCTGACTTCTCAGCCGCTGTTTTGAAAGCACAAGACAAGAGCCTCTCCTCTCCCGTTCGTGGACCCATGACAGCCACAGAAAACTTTATCCTCACCTCGGACACTAACACCCCTTTGCCCTGTGGCACTGCCAGACCGGCCAAGGCCACATCTGTGCAGACAACTTCATTCCATAGTACTTCCCCTCCCAGGCCCGAGACACAAAATCCCGTAAAGATTTTGCTGAGTGAAGATGTTAGCAGCAACAAAGGGGCAATGTAGAGTCACCCACAGGGAATCTGGCATCTTCATCATGTCTTCTCAGCCTCCATAGGGTGGGGGGGCTAGGGTGGGAGGGGGGAATGAATTCTTTACAAAGCTATTTCGTAAAATGTTACGTTAAATGAGTATCTTTTACTAGCTTTTAATGCTAATAGTGCCATTTATTCCTGACCTTGGGAAATATGAGATACTTTAAATGACAACATAAAAAGAATTCTTGTTTGAAAACCCGAGCTACTTTAGACTGCATATTATTACTTATAAGTATAGAGTGCTCCAGTGTCACTCATTTCAACATCCCATTTCTATCTGGCCGGGATATATTTCGGCGGACACTTATTATTCTCCTGCATACGTGTCAAATTCCTTAATGACGGCTGACAAAACCACGGCGCTCGGTACACATAAACTGCATTTGCTACCGTATAATCAGTGTTATCTATTAGAATGCTATTTGTGACAAATCACGTTCAGAATAGGAACGGAATTGATTTTTCTGTTATTTTAATATTGTGTGGCGCGCAGCAAGCCTCTGATTGAGCCTTAAACACTTTAATGCTCTGTTTTTGTTTGCTGCACATCAGAAATGGAGTTTGCACTATTCACAAAGCTAAAGCAATTTGCAAAAACAACAACATCAAATTGCACAGAAAAAAAGAAGATGTATCATCTTTGTTTTCAAGCCGGGGGAATATGTTTTGTGAGGCTGCCGTTAGAGGGCATGCGGCGGCTGAACAGCTAAAACCACACACACACACACACACACACACACACACACACACACACACGTTTCGTTTCTGAACCCCCATTTTCATCTAAATTAGATTTTAACTTTAATGCATGGTATAAAAAAGCCTCTCCTGGGCCTTTGTTTCTGGCTTCTCTCAAGCCACTATAGGCTTTCTCCTGGCTAATACAAAGCTCCACGTTGGAAGCTCCACGTTGGTCTGGTCTTTGTACTCCCATCTTTTGGCCACGGTTTTAGGCTGCATTGTCCAGGGCTCTGACTGCAGGTGGCTGTGTTTCTGGAATCTTCCAGCGGGTTCTCTCTCAGAGGGGTGCTTGGTTGGCCCATACTGCAACGAATACATCACTTACAACTAGAGCCTGGCTAGCCCCATGCTTCTGGCTTAATTTGTGGCTTAAGGCCCTTCTCGTTGTCTGTCATCTTCCTTTGCTAAGAATGGTACTCACAGCTTTAATCCCCTTCTTAGAAATTCAAGCTGCAAATGGCATTTTACGATACATGCAGATTTTTATGAACTTAAAATTTCTGTCTGTCAACGTTTTATTGAAACGTGGTTGCCAACCATCTAGTTATACACTGATGGCAGGAGTAGTTACTTTCAAAGCCCCTATGGCCCATGAAGCCTATCCTATGAAATCGTCTAGACCTATTCTGGTTTGCTTCCCGTTGCTTGGTAAACACTCTGATTAAAACCAACTTGGGGAGGAAGGGGTTTATTCCAGCTTGCACCAGAAATAGGACTTGAGCAGGAACCTGGAGGCAGGAACCGTGGAGTAAGGCGTCTTACTGGCTTGCTCACTAGAAATGCCTAGCCAGTCAGTTGATAATTACTTTAAAACCTCTAAGCAGGTGGAGAATTTCAGGCCAGCTCACACCAGCTGAGGGGGGGGGTGTCTGTCTTCCTTCAGCTTCTGTGTTGTCCGCCCTGGCGCTTTTAAACTTTTAGCAATCGTCTTACGTTAGCAATCGTCATACATGAAGGCCTACATCTCTGAACTTCACACCTGCAAACTGTGAAGTTTGCTAAGCCTGTCGTTACACTGAATCTTACAAAACCACCTCACCAAGAAGGCAGGCTGATCAATTTTATAAGGGAAGGCAGGAGCTTGAGGTGGTTGTTTTCTCATGGAAATCATTTGGTAACAATATGACAACACAAGCCTGAGGTCTCCGGAAACCAGCAGAGGCCAACCAGACCCCATCCCCTTCATCACTCTTTCATCCCCTCCTCAACGTCTCTCCTGTTTGCTCCTCGAGGCGATGCAGGGTGAGCCCATAACGCTTTAGAAGTTGTTCGCTGTAACAGTGGCGGAGCAGAAGATCCACCGACCACAGCGTGAGTGGGATCAGGGCTTAGCACGCAGACCTCCCTTCCTGAGGTACTGTGTGGCTTTCTACGCTGTTAATTTTGATTGGCTTTTGCCTTGTTCTGTTTTACAGGTGCAATCGTTTTTAATAGGGTCAACTCGGCAGCGCCTAGAATAATCTAGGAGACACACCTCTAGGCATCCCTGTGAGGGATCTTCCGGATTGGGTTAAGTGATACAGGAAGATCCGATGTAAGCCACCGTTCCACAGGCTTACGTCCTGGATGGAATAAAAGGGAGCTGGCTCAACACTACAATTGCTCACCGTGGGCATGAGTCGCCGGCTGCCCTCTGATCCCGCAGCCAGTGTCTTCCTGACCGTGACATAGTGTACGCTCTTGAGCAGGAAGAGAAAATAAACTCTTCTTTAAGTTTCTTCTTCTTGGGTATTGGACACGGGCAACAAGAAAAGTACAGCTGATACTAACACAGCAGGATCAAACCCCGGAGTCTGCCCACGTTACGCACACACGCACTCTGCCGCTAAGCCACAGCCCCACCCCCCCCCACCCCCGTCTGTCCTCTTAATATCACAAGGTGTAGTGGCATCTTGCTCCGCCAGTGAACTTGTGCATCCTAAGCGCTGGGGGCACAGCCCCTCCTCTTCCGTATGAGGGGTCACACCTGGGCCCCTGAAGCCACGCCCATAGGGTGTGGCCACCATCGCAAGTTCACCAGCAGAGCAAGGTGCCACTACACTATGAGGCTCTTACATAATCCTCACATCACCAATCAGGGATGTGGTGTTCAGAGAGTTTAGGGACCATGTCCACAGTGGACACTTACAGAAATAAAAAGCTGGGATGTGAATCCCAGGGCTCCATACCACAAGCAGTTGTGCCTGGGCAAAGTCAGCGCTGTGGCTGAGAGCTTTGTAAGGATGTTTACAGGCAGCTGATCACCACTGTGGGACCTGTGGCAGGGACGGGGGCCGCTGGTGTCCCCCCACCCCGTCTCCACCAAGCTGGAGGAAGGCTACCAATTTTTGTGCATGAAGCAAAGGTGAGCCCCCTAAAAAGAGAGCCTTCGATGCCACAAAGATGAAGCCATCCTGATAAGAGGCCGGGTTGGCCCAGGGATTCTTTTTTTCTTCTCAGGTAATGGGATTGTTTTTAGCGGCAAGAATGAGCTCATTATGGATGCAGCCTGTGCTAATAATGATAATTTGCTGCAAGGCAAAAATCACCTCTATATACCCCTCCCGGGCGACAGAAGCTCGTGGAAATTATAGGCTACGGGAGTTACAGAAAGGATGAAGACTAAGGAAAAGAATCGCAAAGCAGAACCGAGGAGACAAAGGGAATCGCAGCCCTGTATCCTGAAGTTGGTGGCCTGGACTAGGAAAAGAACAGCTCGTCGGTGGAACTGCCTCCAACCTCATTACCTCTCCACTGGGTTGTTTTGGGGGGAGGGGGTTGTTGGAGGTTTTGATTTTCGGCTATTTTTTTTAAGTGAATGTAAAATGAATTGGTCAAGAAATTAAATATTGTCACAGGCTTTACCTCCTGGGGGGAGGGGCATGGTGAGAAACAAGCCAGTTTGTCATTCCCCTTCCTTCTTTTCACTGTGAAGACCCCAGTAGCCCAGCACAGTTACCTGCAAACTGTGGGTGCCAAGAAGGGCCAAGCAGACACACTTCCATGCCTGTTCTTCTCGCTCGGCCCATCTCCGAGAGGCTGACAGAGAAGGTCTGTCCTGACACCTCCAGGAAGCTAGAGGACTGGCTTCCTGGTTCCTTTGTGGGGTTGTGCAGTCACTCCTTTAGGGGTAAAGAACGTGGAAGACTCCTGACTGATCCTGGAGCATTGCTTCGGCCCTCTGAAGAGAACACGTTACCTTCTGCTGAGACATGGATTTCTTTTTCCTTTAAACAAAAGCTCCAATATGATTTTAATTTTTCAAAACGTATTTAGGCACACGTGTACCGTGGCACACTTGTGGAAGTTAGAGGTGACAACTTACGGGGGTTGTTTCTCCCCATCACAATCCCAGGGATTGAACTTAAGTCATCAGGCTTGAGGGCAAGGGTCTTTGCCTACGGAGCCGTCTCTCTGGCCCTGAAATATCTAAACTATTTAAGACGTGCTCCCCTCCTCCCTGCATTTTCTTTTTTCCCCAGAGAACTCAACTGTGCACCATACCGCAAGGATGATGACCTTGCTGTGTGAGGAACTCCCAGAAAAAGCTGTCTCTGTGGGCTCTGAGTCTCCAAGTGCTTTTATGTCCATGGACAGACTCTGATTTCTTCTGCATACTGACAGTTACAACGTGAAATCAGACAGGAAAGAGACAGGAAGCCAGTCTTATTGACTGAATTAGAAACAAGGACCTCAGAATGTGACTGACTTGGAAATGGGGTCCAGCAGCAGGCTTGCCTAGCTAGGACGACATCGGAATGGAGCACAGGGAACCCTTAATGCCAGTGTGGCCAGTGTTGTCCTCAAGAGACTGTGAGTATACAGACGCACAGGAAGAAGACAGACACTGAGGATCCGTGACATGGTCTGAATGTGAAACATCCCTCACAGGCTCCTGTGTTTGAGCATGGCCCCTCACTGGTGCTGCTGTTTTAGAGTGCTGCGGAACACTTAGGTGAAGCCTCACTGGGGGAAGTGTGTCACTTAGGGGAGGGCCTTGAGGTTTGATATGGCCTGGCTCTGTTTCCTGTCTACTCTGTTCCTGCCTGCAAATGCAATGTGTCCGGCCATCTCACGCTCCTCCCTCCATGCTTTCCCCAGCACGATGGACTCTGAAGCCCCAAACTGTGGCCACAATAAACCCTTCCACCCTTGAGTTGCTTCTTAGGTATTTGGTCCCAGAAACTGGAACCTACAGATTGGGACTTTGTGTGTGTGTGTGTGGTGAAGCCACCTAGCTGGGTACTATGTTTAAACAGAACTGGTGATCTCCCATAGCTGGTTGCCAGCTGGAGTCTCCCTTGTGACTTGGATTCTAGAAAACCTGGATTGAGCTGGGATATCTGTACCAGGGCTGCAGGCAGGCTATACCGGGACCCATTGGCTAGGCTTCCGAAGAAGAGCCTGAGCCAGCTACACAAGGTTAACTTAGGGTTAGAAAGAGACAGCCATGGACGAGCCTTCTCTAGGTCAACATATTGAGAAATCCCATCAGCCCCCAGCTCAAAAAAAGAAAACAAAAAAAGAAAAAAACGTAACAGGCTGAGAGGCAACCTCTCTATTCAAAGATTGTCATGGGTGACATGGCCGATCGCTGAGGGCACAGGTATCGGTTAAAGAATTCTTATTAAACCTCCTCATTGCCCAAGAGTGGGGGTAGGGAACAAGGGCAGCTGGCTCCTGAAGTCCCTTAAGGCTCACATCTCTTTGGGAGGGTGCATGAGGCTAGCCCTCTGCAAATTTCTTTGCTGCAGATGGTGGCTCTCCATACACGTTCCTGTTGCATGACAGACTAGACCACTGAGCACAGCCACAGGTTCCAGGAGCTTGGGAGTCCTCACTTGGGGATGTTTGACCTGGAAGAGAAAGCCTCCATAGGAGCTGCACACAGGTGACCCCGCTGAGCAGGGCGGTCAGAAGGAAGCAGTGCTTGCCCTTACTTACCTGGCACAGAGGATTCTGGGTATTCGGGTGGGAGACCTTGGAGCTTCGAGACTTTTGGAGAAGGGTCAGGAGGATGTGCAGAGCTCACACCATATATCCTAAAGTAAGCAGAAAGCGTGACATCACTCCTCACAGTTAGAGGTATAGCAGGCCGGCCCTGAGCAAGTGCAGAGCGTTTGTTCTAATCCTTGCAGCCCACCCTAACCTTCAGTTCCCTGCCCCTGCCCCAGGGATGGTAAACTGAGGCAGGAGAGCTGCACTGCTCCGTGCTCCAGTGCCCCTGACAGCTCCTCCGTGAAAGCCTGTGGCAGGTTGTAGCAGGGAGCACATCAGATCAGTCCTCCTCTATCAGGGAAGGGCTGTCCTCTCCAACAAGAGGGTTATGTGTGGAGCACGGAGGGGAGGGAGGGAGGGGACAGCTGCCTAGCCAGCCAGATGCCGAATCAGCCCTGGGGCACTGGGTGCTAGAACCAATCATCCTCATTTTTTGTTGTTTGGAGGACTGCTGGGATTAGAAGTGTGTTGCACCATGCCTGGCACTTACAGGCGCAATGCAAGCTACACTCACTGCTCATACGGCTTCCGCTGTGCCCGCTTGGCCTGCTCCATCAGATCCAGGAAGTCCTCGTAGCACTTTTTGGCCATGATGGTATACCTCGTGGCACAGCCAAATTCAGTGACCCTGGCTCTGGGCAGGTAGCCTGCCCAGCCAGGGATGGGGGGCTCCTGCAGAGGTTTCTTCACATTCTTACATTCTGTAAGGAGACAGCAGGGGTCCTGAGGGTTTCAGAGAAGCAGAATGGGAAGCCCCAGCTCTTAAGCTCCCTGGCATATTAACAGTTAAGACACCCACAGGCCACACCTAGATCCCCTACTGCACTCCAGGGACCTGAGGGTGGCTGCTCCCCAGGAGATCCCTCATATCATTCAACAGCCACGGAGGCAGGAGCCACTGTTAGCTCCATGTGTTACTTCTGTGGCAAGTCATGCGGCAAGTCCAGTACACACTTCGCTCTTGGGTCCTAAATCCAGCAAGTAACCATAGAGATAGGCTAAATCTTAAAACTTTGGGCAAGGATTCGTTGTCATATTAACAAGAAAGGCTACCAGCCCAGTGTGTGTATATCATGTGCTTGCACGCATGTGCACTATGCATGTACACACACACACACACACACACATACACACGTGCACCATAGTGCATCCATGTACCCTTATGTGAGTGAATCACAGTGCAGCCATGTACTTGTGGATGTCTGATGTCTACACTCAATGTCTTCCTTTGCTACTGGTACCTTGTGCTTTGGAGGCTGGTTAACTCAATGATTCTGGAGACCGATTTGGCCATGCTAGTTGACCAGCAAGCCCCTGAGGTCTACCATTAGATTACAGCCATTTGCCACCACACCTGCCTTGTTTACATGGGCTTTGGGGGAATCAAACGGGTCCACACACACATGCAGTGATCACCCTACAGACTGGACCATTCCGGGGCCCTCCATTACTTCCCTATAGCCCTTTAGATATACAAATAACCCAGGTCAAAAATCTAAATTATCGATCCATCATTTGTCATTCTGTGTGACACCTCCTCCTGCAGAATTAGTGTCTACAGCAGCTGATGTTTGGAATCTTCAGCTCTGCCCATCCCAAACCCCGCCCTCAGGGTGCCAAGCAGCAGCCCCTCCCCTGGAGTTGACTTTGCCCCTCCCCAGGGCTGCTCAAGACTACATTTATGGGCTATATAAGAGCTGGCCTCCTTGGTTCGGTGTGCCTCCTCCCCTGAGTTGCTTTGCTCTGTTCATTAAACCTGGATTTATTAGTTCAGTTTGATTGACTTATTGCATTAGCGGCAGCTGTGGCGGATTTCCAATAACCGGGTATGTGGGTGCCAGGGGCTGGGGTGAAGCTTCCATTAGAACATCTGGATTCTGATCTAGGAAGGTGTCAGCATCGTTGCTGTGATTCCCCTGGAGCATCACTAGGAATCTCTAATGGGGAATGACCAGCTCATGCTCACAAAGGCTTCTGTGTCTCCAGCTCAGAGACAACTCCCAAAGTGGCATCCACAGAGACATAAGCTGATGCTCAAAGTCCACGGGGGCTTGCCTAGGGCTCCGAGGGTGCTGCCAGCCTCCCCCAGCTGCCCGGGATGGGTCCCTTCTCAACATCAACTGTGCTTGGTTAGGTGCTCTTTCTGGCCGTACAACGGCCTGCTGGGGTCTCCCTTGGGACCAGAGTTGAGAGAAGCTGATGTAGGGGAGGCCATACCCAGAGTCAGGGGGTGGTACTTCTTGGCATACTCATGCAGCGTCCACAGGACTGTGTCTTCGGAGCAGATGGGCTTCAGGGCCGGGGTGCTAGCCACAGAGCAGTTCAATTCCTGCATCTGCTCCTTGTATGTCTGCGTTCTCTCCTGGAAGGCTTTCACACAGTGATTCATGTTGTCCTCGCTGGAGGTTCCCTGGCAACTGAGCCATGGTATGAAGCCTGGGGGAGCACAGAAAGTCACAGCCCAAGTGCGGTGGCTGGCTGCGGCCTGGGAGCCCGCCTCTGTACCCACTGCTGCAGCCCTCCACTTGGCTCCCTTCCATTGCCACCAAGGCTTCGTTTTTGCAAAGGCCATTAATACAGTCTGCACCATGGCTGGTGCAGACAATGACCTTGGAGCTGGGGAGGGAAGGTCCACTTCAACAAAGGAGATGACAGTCATACACTCTGATGGCAAAGCCCCCATGCCAGGCTGAGCAGCAAATGGTGAAAGCATTTAATGGGCCTAAATGATAGTCTGAGGAGTAATTGAAATTATTCATCTTTTATTTTGAGAGAGAGAGAGAAAGCTTATTTTCCTTGACACTTCCCAAATGCAATCTGGGATCTTTCTTGCCAGACCATAGAGAAATTGCAGGCCCATTAAAGCAGAGTCCTATGACATAAAAAGATAAATTCATTATCTACAAGACCCACCCCAGGACAATTTTTCACCATTTCCCACAAAATAACATGTAATCATTACAATTAGTAAGGGTAAAACACAACTATGTATTTAAACGGGATGCTGAATCCTAAGTACTATAATATTGTCACAATAAAACCATTTTTTAAAAGAACAAACAAGGAAAAACTGGTTAAGAACTTAGCCTCAAGCTGCAAAGTAAGTGTCTCTCAGTATTGTAGCTCATTGTTTGTGGGGGTTTTTGCTTTGTTTTGTTTGTTTTGCTTTGTTGCTTAAGAAAGGAAGGAAGGAAGGAAGGAAGAAAGAAAGAAAGAAAGAAAGAAACCTGGCTTTGGGGCTGGATGGAGCAGCTCCAAGTCTTCTACCCCCAAAAAAAACTTTCTAGAAAAATCTAATAGACTGACCTTGACAGGGCTGAAGTCACAGATCCATCTGCTATGGTTTGAATGTAAAATGTGTCCCACAGGCTCATGTGTTTGAAACTTGGTCCCTTGGTGCTGTTCTGGAAGATTGTGTAACCATTAGGAGGTGGGGCCTGGCTGGAGGAAGTGAGAGGCTAGGGGGAGTGGGAGGCTGGAGGAAGTGAGCGGGAGGCTGGAGGAAGTAGGAGGCTGGGGGAAGTGAGTGGGAGGCTGGGGGGAAGTGAGTGGGAGGCTGGGGGGAAGTGAGTGGGAGGCTGGAGGAAGTGAGTGGGAGGCTGGAGGAAGTAGGAGGCTGGGGGAAGTGAGTGGGAGGCTGGGGGAAGTGAGTGGGAGGCTGGGGGAAGTGAGTGGGAGGCTGGGGGAAGTGAGTGGGAGGTGGGGGAAGTGAGTGGGAGGCTGGAGGAAGTGAGTGGGAGGCTGGGGGAAGTGAGTGGGAGGCTGGGGGAAGTGAGCGGGAGGCTGGGGGAAGTGAGTGGGAGGCTGAAGGAAGTAGGAGGCTGGGGGAAGTAAGTGGGAGGCTGGAGGAAGTGAGTGGGAGGCTGGAGGAAGTGAGTGGGAGGCTGGAGGAAGTGAGTGGGAGGCTGGGGGAAGTGAGCGGGAGGCTGGGGGAAGTGAGCAGGAGGCTGGGGGAAGTGAGTGGGAGGCTGGGGGAAGTGAGTGGGAGGCTGGGGGAAGTGAGTGGGAGGCTGGGGGAAGTGAGTGGGAGGCTGGGGGAAGTAGGAGGCTGGGGGAAGTGAGTGGGAGGCTGGGGGAAGTAGGAGGCTGGGGGAAGTGAGTGGGAGGCTGGGGGAAGTAGGAGGCTGGGGGAAGTGAGTGGGAGGCTGGGGGAAGTAGGAGGCTGGGGGAAGTGAGTGGGAGGCTGGAGGAAGTGAGCGGGAGGCTGGGGAAGTGAGTGGGAGGCTGGAGGAAGTGAGTGGGAGGCTGGGGAAGTGAGTGGGAGGCTGGGGGAAGTGAGTGGGAGGCTGGGGGAAGTGAGTGGGAGGCTGGGGGAAGTAGGAGGCTGGAGTGGGGGCTTTAGGTTAACAGTCCAGCACCACGTCCTGCCCTCTCTCCGCATCTTAGCCTTGTGGAATATTGATGTAAAGATGTGCCACTGTTTCACCTTGCCTGCCTAAGGCACCTGAGTGGTCTAGTAAAGAACTGGCCAACAGCTGGAAGCGGCTGGCGGCAGAAAGAATAAGTAGGAGGAGGAAGGAGACTGAGAAGAAGAGACTGGGGAGAGAGGAGTAGAAAGAGAGGACTCTCCCAGGGCCAGAAGCGCAGCCATGACAGACAGTCATGGAGACAGCAGGGAAGATGTACACAAAGAAAGGTTAAAGGCCCTAAGGCAAAAACATAGATAAACATAAACAGATTAAAACAAAAGTTAAGACAAGGCTGATCATTCGCAACTAATAGGAAGTCTCCATGTCCTGACTTGGGAGCTGGTTGGTGGCCCAAGAGAAAAGGGCTGCTGCCTGCGTCTTGGTCCATGAGAATGTGAGGAGTCCCATCCATGAGCCCCACTGCCAAGCCTTCCCCACCATGATGGGTTGTATCTCAAACTGCAGCCAAAACAAGTCCCTTCTCCCTCACGTTGTCCCTCATCAGATGCTTGGTCACCGCAGTGAGAAATTATAGACTATTTTTCCAACCCCTGGGCGATCAAAACATGTCCTGAGATGTCATGGAGAAAGCCACAGAAACTTAGGGTCCCTTTTGAAATGTTATCTCTACCACCAAGGCCTTGTAGCTATGCATTTATGTACATGTATGCATATACATGACACTCACATACCTAGTTGTACAAGACATCTTACCGAGTGAGGTGTGCGTATACTGGCTTCGTTAGTTATCACAACGACCATGGAGAGTACCCAATATGATAAGATGCATGGATGGTTTCCCCCCCCCCCAATAGACACATCCAAGTCCCTAATCCCTGATACCTATGGGCATGGTTTTAGAAAACATAATTGATGAGCTAGAAGCAAGATCATTGCATGTTTAAGCTGTCCCTAGAGCCACTTAGACATACAAACATTCATTTGAAGAATCAATGATGGGCAGGTCGCCATTTTTAGAATTTATTCCTTGTGTAAAAGCGGTTATTTGCGGTCTTGTGGACAGTGGACAAAGAGAAGTGTGAAATAAATCTGAACTGTCGGAATCTGAAATATATTCTCTCACCTAGCTAGTAGGACCAGGGGGAGCCTGGGAAACCTTGGAATGTTTTCAAGCATAGTCCCTTCTGAAAACAGCGTATGTATGCAAACTGCGGGTCCACTGAGCGGGTCAATTACAGGGATGGTCACAGTTCTTGGAAGTCTGCGGAGGAAGAGCCTTAAGGAATGGAAACCAATGCCTATGTGGAACTGACCTAGGCCTCTACATATGTGACAGTCGTGTAGCTTGGTCTACTTGTGGGACTCCTAACAGTGGGAGCAGCTAACACTTTAGCTGGCTCTTGGGAACCCATTCCTCATACTGGGTCGCCTTGTCCAGCCTTAACACAAGGGGAGGTGCTTAGTCTTACTGCAACTTGATACGCCATGCCCGGCTGATACTCATGGGAGGCCTGCCCCTTTCTGAACAGAAACAAAGGAGGAGAAGGGAATAGGAGGAGGGGAAACTTCAGTCTGGATGTAGAATAAATAAAAAGAAGAGAAAGCAACGGAGACCATTTCTAAAAGGTGAAAGCATTTCTCAGACTTTCAGGGCCCCAGCATCAACAGGGCAGGAAGTCTGTCTCCCTTTATGAGACATTGGAACCACCCCTGTGGGAGACTTGGGAAGTGCAGAGCCCCAACTTATCCACCTTTGTCCAGCAGGTGTCAGTTTCTGGTACCCAGCCACTCCTGAAGGATTCAGCCTGGGTGCTCTCAAGCGTGTCTTAGAGTGCTTGTGTGGGCCCAGTTAGACACGGTCAATAACCAAGACAAGCAGAGACCAGAGCCGCTGCTATGAACGCCACCTACCACTGTATCCTGGCGTGATGGGTAGTTTTCTCATGAAGGTCTCAGGAGACTCCATTTTACTCTGCCAGGGAAGGGAAACAGGCATGAAATGGTCAGAGTCTGCCTCTGGGACTTGATGCACATGGGCAAGAGTCCCTGGGTGTAAAAGGAATGACTTTTGTCAGATGCTGAGAAGTAATGCCACCATCACACCCAAAGCCAGCTGACCCAGTTTAGTTATAAACCGGAGACCAGGTACCAAGGGCTCCTTACTTGTTATGCTTATAGAAGATCTCCACCTACGAATGTGTCACTTTCCAGAGACACCTCTCCTTCCTTCCTTCCTTCCTTCCTTCCTTCTACCATCCATCCATCCATCCACCCATCCATCCATAATCCATCTAATAAAACTATGTCCATATATGGTCATAAAACCATATATGGATATGTGGATATACAGATGAGCAAGACCCAGGAGACACCAAGCAAGGCTCAGGAAACTTGCACAAGGGAAACCCATTTCTCCACGGCCCACTCTTAATTCAGGCAGAGTCTGGTTTGGTAGACTCGTGTTGCTACGTCCCTTTACTCTCAGAGTGTCTGACAATGTCTGCAGACATTCTGAGCGTCATAACTAGAGGGACGGGATGTACTGGTATCTTGTGAGCAGGTCCCTTGTCCATTTTATTCAATGCATGTGAGACCGCCGCAACAAAGGGGGTTAGAACAATTATAGTCTGGGGGGGGGGTCTGAAAGACACACACACAAACAAAAAACAAAACAACGAAAAATCTGGAGTCCAAGGAGGGGATGAGAAGAGGTGATGGGTGCTCATTCCAGTACCAGGTGTAAGGATAAGGATACCATGTCTGGAGCAAAGCCCTCCCCTCACCAGGGATCATCAATGCTCCCCCACAACGGGCCAAGGTTTGTTTAGGGATTCTGTGACTCTTCTATGCCTTGTCCTGCCGAGCCGGTGCATCTCGGTAAAGTGATATCTTGTGGGCAGGAGCTTGTTTCAATGCTCACGAGTGAAGCCTGCTAAAGCCCCAGGGGCACGACAAGCCGTCTATAGTGCGACCCCTGGTGGTTAGAGCCAGGCCATCCTGCAGGGAGATGGGGCGGGGGGCGCTGAAGAAAGGCAGGGCAGAGCCCGGGAGAGAACGGGACCTGCTCCACCCACTTCCACCGGCCCCTGCTCTCACCTGTGCGGGCCGAGCACCCCCCAAGGGAACTGGGCGACTCTGCCTGCCGCCTGCCCACCTGCTCTTCGGGGCCTTTGTGCGCTCACTCCAACCGGGCGGGGCAGATTCTAGATCCATCCGGGATATTTGGGGCAGGTCCCGCCCCCTACATGAGGATCAGGGGTCGGGGTGGGGGATGACACGGGAGGAACCAGAACCCAAAAGTTCGTAAACCCAGTGAACTGGGCCGCTAGTCCCTCCCTGGGCGGCTATTCCCCTCCCCCCACCCCCACACCCTCTACCCAACCGCACACCCCCTACCCCACCCCGCACACACTTTGCACGGACTTTGCGAGCAGATGCCTGTAGCTTGAGCGCCTCATCTCCACCAGGGGGAGCGAAACCGATGGAGGATGAAGACCACAGAGCGGGGATGCACGCGGAAAGCCACCCCCATTTCTCCCGAGAGGTTGCCAGTGGTCTCCATCCCCGCCACGTGAGGGCCAGCAAGGGGCAGGGGGCAGTCAGGGAAAGGAAGGCCGTCTGTGTCCGGGTTGGCTTCCAAACACAGGAACCTTCCCCAGCCTAGTACACCCATGCACACAACTTTCTCCATTAAGAGAGCTGGGGTTTGTTCTATCTCTCCGCTCCAACCCCTACCCCCCCCCCCCACACACACACACATAAAGTCCCAGGACACAATGCTTGGGAAAGCTGTGTTACTCCTTTCTAGCAGTGGTTTTATGGGAGGGAAGATGGCTCGAGCCAGTGTTTGGTTTGGCTGAATGCCAGTGTAGCGCCCTGTGAACCAAATGGGCTATGGGTGGCTCCACCTGTTCAGAGCCCGCCCGCAGCTTGTTTAGGGCGTGCGCTTCCCTGGAGTGGGCGGGACCTGGCTGGCTATCCTGGAGACCGAACTTTTCAACCCCATGGACTCCTGGGACCACGCCATCCAGACACTAATAGAGTGAATTTAGAATATGCCCCAGGGGTAGAGTTTGGGAGGAAGCCAAGACTCTAGACCACTAGCCTACGCCTGCAGGGATGTCCCCAGGGGCGGGCACCAGGAGGCCTCCCATGCTTTTAATGATTTTCATCTGGATGTTGTGAATCGTCCCTCACTCTGCCCACCTGCCTTCTCTCTAGCTAAACCACTTCCCGTCTGCAGGAGACAGGGCTCCGGGCATCCATGGAGCTTGGGTTCCCAGCAAAGGAAGGGCTGTCAGTAACCCTTGCCCCACCTGAAAGGGGACTTGAGACAGGAGGAAGTCGGCAACGACTACCCCAACAATTCCAGCTGTACACCCCAAACGAGACACAACATTCTAGGCCACATGGAATTCAGAATTTCACTTTATTAGAATCTCTGAAGACAAGAGAGTCTGCAGACACAATCCTGTCTCGTCGTGGACAGCTGCAAAATTCTGTGAAGTTTGGCTCTGTCTTGTAGTGAACAAGACTCCCGGTGGCTGAGATCTTGGGATGCTGTCCCACATTTCCAGCAGATGAGAGGTGTTAAGTTATTATGGCCAACAACGGCTTTCATACTTAAGCCACTCCCCCACCACACATTCGTTCTATGCAGCCTAAACAGCTATCCCATCTCTACAGTGTGAAATTCCATCTTCGATTAATAACGCATTTTGATCCCTGTTTATATTGGCGCATGCAATTCTTTGCTACCCTGGCAGTTAACCAGACCTGGACTCTAAAAGCTAAACGTGGTCTAAATAACACTCTAAGGGTGGGGGGCGGGCAGGCCCTGTAACCTGGACTCAGCCGTCGCTCCCAGGACTTCTGAAAGAACACCTCCTCATTCTGCAATCACGAAGGCCGGCTGTTTACTGAAAGGGTAGTTCAGTAGCCAGACTCTTATACGCAAAGGTCAACCGGTCAGACCACCTCTAGAACTTTCTAAGTTGGGTGAATGTTCTAATGAGATTGTTTCACCTGGGTTGGAAGGCTTTATTTATTTAAAGAGTTTGGGCTACTTGAGCTGCAACTCTGGGCCGGAAGGAATCACCACCCTTCTCCCATTGTTAGTTTGCTAACACTTTGCAGATTTCTATCAGCTCGGTGAAGAGAGGACAGGAGCAGGGAGACAGACCTGTACTGTGAGGAGTGCTTTAGCCGGGAGAAGGAGGGCTGGACTATCACCAAGCCCTATCACTCGGCCCTACAGAAACCTCAGCTTATGGTCCCACTCGGTCCCTTTGGTCACCGAGTGTGCCAAGCTTTGCCTTTCCAGAGAGGAGAGGTCAACAACCCTTTGGGACTCACAAAGCGTTTGGGTGGGCATCGATTACAGAACCAGGGCCGTTCAGCTGTCGAAGTTTGGACGGGAGAATTGATGCATTACTCTTCATGCGGGAGCCGTTCAGCTTTGGGCAGGGTGTGCAGGTGTGGAAGGGTCTGATGAAGCTGTCCGTCTGGGTAGACTGTGTGGTCAGAGTACTCTGACCCAAGGCACCTCCGTCGATTGCTCGCTGGGTCTTGCGTACATAATCCACTGCATGGCATCAGCACAGAGTGATCAGTGAGAGCAATTTAAAAAAAAAAAAAAAAATGAACCCCTGGAGCTTACAGGCAGCAGCGTTAGTAACCAAAATTAAGCGCGCTTTCCTCTTCGAACAAGCACACGGTAGAAATGAAGATTCTGTACAGGATTCTAGTGTTATATGTACACAAAATTATATCCATTATAACAAAATCGAAAGTCTATTTGAGGACTGTGGCGGCCGGACGCAACAAAGAGAGACCCACCCCGAGCCCCTGAGGCAGAGTTTGCAGGGGAGACCTAGCAAGAGTCCCACCATTCACTTTAGGGCTCCCATCTCTTGTTCTATGGTTTGATAGCGTTTTCACATTCTAGCAGGGAATTCTGCAGCAAGCGGCGTGAAAAACAAGACAGCAGGTTGGAATTCACAATGCTACTTAAAACCGACATATTGGCTATGATGATGGGTTCACGAGTCCCTTCCCTCATTCTGTATTCATCCATCCATCCACCCACCCACCCACCCACCCACCCACCCATCCACCCATCCATCCATCCATCCATCATGCATGCCTCCAGTGATTTGAAATCAGGACGAATTCCAGCAGGTGGTAAAGGCAGCTTGGAACAGATCAGAAGGTCTATGAGTTAGATTCTGCATCCCTTATCCTGAACATTGTCCAGACTGGCTTTACCCTGAGGGAGGGCGGGAACCCAGAACCCAGCAGTCTCCTGGGGCAGCTCTATTCTCAGAGTTCCTTTTGTGACATTTTTTTCCTTCCCTTCTCCTTCCTGTGGCGGTTAAAAGGACGCCCCCCCACACCCCACCCCCAGGCCAGGTGGGCAGGGGATGTGGGTACACACCCTTCCCTAAGGGAACTCTGATAGGAAGGTTTGAAGTCACTTCAGCTTCACAAAACCTCAGGTTCAAAATTCTCACATCCCAACACTGAGAACACAGATCCTGTCTCTCCGGATTCAGCTCTCGCTAAAAGGGATTCGACTCGGGACCTGCTCTTGACAAGCACCCAGGCGATTCTGAGGCAGGAGGGCCCTCATTTACCAGGTCTAGGTTTACATACTATTGCTAGGTACGTTTGCAAAGCTGAAGGCGTGCGTGAGACATTTCATGGAGCGGAGCCCCCTTTCTTGTTTCCTCACTGGAGAATGAAGAGCAGCAGGAAGGAGGGTTAACTGAAAATGTGCACGGTTTGCAAAGCAGGGGGGGCGGGGGGGGGGCTCTCTGTTGGATTTCTGGGCTTTGATGACACATAAAACCAGGGCAAATTAAAAACTTCACTTTCTCAAAACGAAACTCCTACTAAGATCACCTGGGATTATGCAGGACCTCTGAACCCAAGGTTTGTTGTTCTAAGAATTACCTTCTGGCCTGTGTTTGCACCTACTGGGCTTTCAATGGGCCCCAGTCAACTGTGGTCCAAAAGCCACGTAACGGTGGTATAGTGTGGTAAGATATGCTTCGATATACCAAATTTTATCAAAGTGTGTTTTTATAACTGTCCTATTTCATCATTAGTTATTGTTGCTAACCTCTTACTACGTTATTATATTGAACTTTAGCACAGATGTGTGAGTATAGAAAAAAAGATAGTATAGATAAGGTGTGGTACTATCCACAGCTTTGGACATCCACTGATGTATCCTCTACAGACAGAAGGGGACTGCTCTAATTTGGGTAAAGTTACCGACTCTTCAGTGTGCATTTGCACCAGAGGAAGTTTTATCTGCTCTGGAAAACAGAGGTATCAACCCTCTTAGTCCCAACCCCCAATCCTGGTTGAGTTAGCCAAGGCTGTCCTGTCCGTCATTGAGCCTCCTTGGAATTTAATTTATATGAGAACCTAAAATAGTGCCCAGGGTAGGCAGCCTTCTCCCACAAGCTTAAAAAAAAAAAAAAAAAAAATACTGTAAGTTGCCACTGAGTCACCAATTTGAGTCCCGTGATAAAGAGAAGAAACTAACTGCAAGAAGCTGGTATTTCCTAGTCACTGTCATCCTAGATAACTTACAAAGACCTCCAAAGAAGATCCCTTCAAACCCAGAGAGATGGCAGTGGATGTCCTAACTCCTCCCTTACCAGGACATCTTCACGGGAAGTGGCACCAATTTCCTCACAAAGGGCTCTCGGATCCTTGAACTTCCTATTCCCAGACCTTGACACTAATCTCTGAGTCTTTCTGACTCCAATGTCCTTTCAGAGAGAGAGAGAGAGAGAGAGAGAGAGAGAGAGAGAGAGAAGGAGAGGGAGAGGGAGAGAGAGGGGGAGAGAGAGGACAAGGAAAGGAAGGAAGGAAGGAAGGAAGGAAGGAAGGAAGGAAAGGAAGGGTATCCTTAATTAGTTCTCTCCCTGATCCTCCAGTTTCCTACTGAAATTCAGGTGGGCAATGGCAAGGGTCAAGGTCGGGGACAGAACAGTCAAGGTCGAGGTCAGCAGAGGCAGACGAGAGTCCTGGGGGGGGGAGGGGAGGCTGGCAGCAGGGAGGGACGATTACATTAGTAATTTAGAAAGTCGATCCCCACTTTGACACTCTTTGAGGTGGCGACATCAACGGCCGTGGCCTTGATCTCAGTGTCCC